TTGTCTTCGAGCTGGTCATTGATTAAGTAAAGTTTACTTGATTTGGCTTTGGTAAATTTATAAACTAAGATTGATCAACCAGCACTAGGACTTAGTACTTCTCCTAAAAAGGGCCAACTGTCTTCAGGAAAATACCTGTGAAACCATCTGTAAGGAATTTGTCTGTGGACCTTGAAGATTGCCTGACCATATAATTCAATCATAAAGTATTCTATTTCTTAAGCTAAATGAATTGTTGAGGAACCCCAAGCTATGTTTTGTGATGAGGGTTTTCAGAATCTGAGTGTCTGATTTCTGAGCTGGTCTTAATGATTGATCTTACAGGTTAATGTTACTCAAAGAAGGTTTAATGGTTCTTTGATCCTGATTTTTAGCTCATCTGAATAGTTTTAAAGACCTAGTTCAGCAACCTTGGTAGAAAGATCATAGGTTAAATATGCTTGCTGTGTCATGTGCATCCATCTTATTCACTCAAGTTAGGAAAATTTAGTATATTCTGAATTTCTGCACATAAAAAGTAATAAGTTGAGAGATTAGTTTTTATGCTTGCTTCCCTAAAACCATAATACAATGTTGGGCACAGCCCATCATGAATTATAGCTGATTTGCAAAGCAGCGAAAGTCACTTGTTGGAACTTGGGAGTCATGTAGCATTTTATTCCGGCACAGGCTGTGTCATATCTGTGACAGCCCAAATACAGCATAACATCAGAGAATGCAGTAATAATAGTAGTCAGTTATAATACTTCTCAGGGACCAGAGAATGACAGTTTCTTTTCACTGGAAAGTCTTTGATTTTTGCATAAGCAATCTTTTTGTTCTTTAGCTTTTTTTTAGTGTGTCATCACTGCACAAAATGTTCAGTTTCAAAATATTGTCTAACTCAGAGATATCATATTCGGCATTTGTTAAAGGCATTCAGTGAATAATTATGGGGAAACATGGAGTACATGAAGGGATGTCACACAAAAGAAAGTCAGCTCTTCTCTATTGACAGACAGGCAGAATGTGGAAAAATTAGTTACTGGAATGCTATGCTGAGAGCCCTTGTATAGTAAAACCAATTCTATAGTTAGGTAGGGAGCTTCCCACCAGAGGATGTCTTCATGAAGGGCCTAAATGCACAGTGCTTATAGGTACTTTAACTTGGATACCTGCACTAAGAAAAGAGTTGGACTTGTCCTAAGAGGCCCCTTCCCAACTGTATGATTTGTGGGGTGGGCAGAGGGAAAATGAGCATGCTAACCTTGCTTCTCTCTTTCCATATCTTTCTTATCTATCTTGTGTTTCCATTTGTACTGTGAAATCATTTATTATCTTTTTAAGGCTTTTTGGACAATGTTAAACCCCTGAATTTTCAGAATTGTATATTTTGAGATGGGACCTTCATCCTTGTCAAACTGAATGTGTATTTCATTGAAATAGCAAAGTTTCCCATGCCACTGTAACAAAGAGAAAATGAAATAGTATCGAGGTACTGAACTTGTTTTAATAAATCATATGAAAGAGGACTAACTTAAAACGTCATGAATCTTGGAAAAAGATTGCAAAATCTGCCAAGAATTATTTCAGTGTCTGCATACAGATGAGATAAATACTTAGCACTGTTATTACAAATAGATTATTGTAATTTTCTCTCTCTCTTTCTATCAGTGCAAGCTGAATTCTGACTCTACTTAATGAAAATCTGCATAAAGAAAATGTTGGGCTCAGTGTTCTCTTAGTTATCTACCTGAACACAATTAGAATGTTCAGAATGCAGTTGGTAATTGGTTTTCACTCTGGAGAGGACTTGATTATATCCATTCTGTACAATTACTTTTATTAATTAGGGAAATGATGCAAATGAATATTGGGCCAAAGAATAAGATGGGTCAGTTTAGCAATCGTCTAATGTAGCTATGCAATGATTTCTAAAGAATAAACATTTCTTGATGCCTTCTCTTTGCAGTGTTATTTCCCCGCCATACCAACGCTGCCGCAAGAGATAACACCATAAATCTGATCCACACGTTCCGGGACTATCTGCACTATCACATCAAATGCTCCAAGGTATAGGAATGATATCTAGAGTCCCAGGGATGCAAATGCCTAACATAGTTTGAGAAAATGAAATGACTGGTTATGACAGACTTTAAAAAGTTACTTACAACCCACCCTTGAAGTTACCACTATTGCACCATCCGCATGGTCATATGTTCACAGGGTATATCTGATAGTTACGCAGATTGTACTTTAGTCTGGCAAGATTCTCTCTGGGCAAACAACAATAAAGCTACTCTGAGTAAAACATCGTGTCATATTGATTTGTTGCACTTGACATTTAACTTGAATGTTAAGAACTATGAAGAGCCCTTAGATATGTTTTTCTTCTTCTTTAATGCAGGCTTACATTCACACGCGCATGAGGGCAAAAACATCAGATTTTCTCAAAGTGCTGAATCGTGCCCGACCTGATGCAGAAAAGAAAGAAATGAAAACAATCACGTGAGTTTTAAAGGGGCAGTTTCTTTCTTCTGGTTTATTTATTGGGTAAACTTGCATAGCTGCTCATCTGAAATATGTTAGTCTGAATGGCATACGAAGTGAAAAACACAAAATTGTACAATAAAAACACAACAAAAACCATTCAAAACTAAAAACAATAAAAAGCAGTAAAACGATTTTAAATTCTTGCAAAATCTGCAGGATAGTACATGAATTTTCTTAGCATTACATGATCTATTCAGTATTTGATACAATGCAGTCCTGAAGAACACAATGCATATAATCACGTTTTAGTGTTAAAACCAGGATAATGCATGTATAAATTAAATCTGTTTAAAAACTAGACTAAATGTGAAGAACATAGACTTAACATTTTATTATTGCTCATATTTCATCTACATCTGTGCATGTATTTATGTATGTATCCCTCAAAAAGTTCCCTTGTGGTTCAGCTAATGAAATAATGTGATTAAACTTCCTGCTAACTTAGTGCAGTAATTTATGGATAGATGATCAAAATAAAATAATTCACTAATGTCACATAGGATTGAATCACAACTGATCTGAGATTGAACCAGAGATATATTCACAAACAAGTGAGCTTTTACCAAAATAGATCACACAGCTAATTTTCCAGAAGAAGAGTAAATGTTACAAGTCAAATTATAACTGATTATCTAAAATGCAACTACTTTAGCAAGCTCTTTATGAAGTAGAACTCAGCCTCCATTGTATTATCTTGCTGAGTTAGTAGCTATACCCTTGAATCCGAAATATTTGCAGGCTACAGTGTCAATACATAATTGGTATGTTTTTAGCTTTTCTAGTATCTCCTTTGTATCATATTTCCAGGCTTTTACGTTCATGGCATTTACTTTTTAATAATACTTCACCTGATATTATTGCTGGGAGTGACAGAAATCTAAGTCTTATTCACTAATTAAAAATAAAGTTCTCTTACTTGGGGAAATAATGCTTTATATCCCTGAGTTCCTTTCATCTTTGAATTATGAATATGAACTCTTTTTGGTAAGATATTTATCAGCCCAACTAGATATTATTTATACTGCCACTATGGTTCTTTTGCTCTTCCCTTCATTTGGAAATTTATGCTACATTAATCTTAACAAGAGAACCGGAGTACAAAAGATGTGAAGATGTGTGGGTGTTCATGAGTACAGATAATTATTCATTTGAAATAAAAAGCTTTAAGGACCCGAGGTTACTTCAGTCACTATTTTTATTGAAAATTAGAAAGAAAAACAACAAAAGATACTTGTAATTTGCAATAGTGGCAAATATTTGTAGTTTGGGTGAAGGTTCATTCTCCGAGCTTGTGGGTTGGTTTCTCAATGTTTCCTTACCAGGCTAGGTAACATCTTCAGTGGAGTTTAGGGGATGTCAGTGTCAATGTTCTTCTGTTTATAAGGGCTTCAGGTGGGAGTGTGTCAAGTGTGGGTCTTGTGATGGGTCAGGTGTGAGTCATCAATGGGTCTTGTGATAAGGAGGTTATATCAGGTCATGATCATTGGGAATTGAACTTCTGGGGGGGGGTGGAGTTGTATGGGTTACGAACCCCTCAGAATCCAAATCAACCGCACAAACAACCAAAGGCAGCACCAAACCTCATTCAACCCATTCAACTCTCCCCCCACCAGCAATTCACCTCCCAATGACCCTGACCTGATATAAACACACCCACACCCGAAACCCTTATAAACAAAAGAACATTGACATCTCCTAAACCAGATTTAGGACAGTCATAAAGCGAATCACGATTGTTAAGTCAATCACACTAAATGAACCCAACTTCCCCAGTGGAGATTTTTTTTTTTTTTTTGCAGAAAACTGCCAATAAAGTGGCAAATCATGTCATGCTGCAGCTAATCGTAAATGCGAGCCAGTTGTCACGCACCCGAATTGCAATCATATGACTGCAGGGGTGGTACAACCATCGTAAATATGAGTACAGATTGCAACTTTGAACTGTCTTTAAATGGTCACAAGTCAGGGACTACCTGTACCACATACAAGGGCATTTCGTTCAAAATATCTTTAATATGCGCTCATCTCTAATTTATAGTCCTATTGGACAGATGTAACACAAGACTGGGATGAAATGAATATGAAAGGGGTCAAAGTAGCTGTATTGATTTTGAAAGAAAAATGAAAATGTACTAGATTGCCACCATTCTTAGTGGCTATGAGTTACTAATGCCCTTTGAGTATGTATTTTTGATCATCAAACCACTCCATTCCTGTCTTCATTGCTCACTGAAGAAATTTTATGTTAGCAATAATAATATTAATAGTAGATATTTAAGTCTGAAATGTAAGATTATGATCTTCTGAATGAATGCTGCTGGATAAAAGGAATGGGACATGGGTAAGTCCTAGAACCTCCAAATCATAAGGGAGGTCTGCTGGAGCCACTCTCACCCTGTACTCTCTAACTTCTTGCCAGGGGGAAGACCTTTGCATCCCGTTAAAAGCCTGAGGCAAGGTGGAATCGGACAACTGCGGTAGAAGGCTGGAGCACTTGCTACCTGATAATCGTAGCTTTTTAATATTGCACCTCTCTGGGCTCTTAAGGAAGTAATCGGGTGATGTTTTCTATACAAGTTTGGAAAGTGATCTGTGGCATCGAGCTGTGCTTGCAAGGACTTAATTAAAAAAAATGAAAACATCCTTTAATTCCATTTTGATCCATTTTTCTTTCTTTTTTCCCCCTCTTCCTGATCCCCTTTTTTTCAAGCTGTTTTGCTTTGCAATATGTTTACCGGTTATGAGTTGCAGTATTTCTTATGGTAATAATGCAATATTAACTTGTTTTTCTTCCAAGTATTTTGAGTTCACAATTCCTGTATCTGAAGAAATATTGTTGGGTTCATTAATAAAGGAGATCTTTCTATCTTACCCAGCATGGTCAATGGGGTATTCATTATTACTTGTTTGTGTTCAATAGAATCAGAAAAGGTTATGGGAGAGAAATATAACACCATGTATATAAAATTTAATACATGCCCTCACTAGATAAAAATCTCAGGTTGCAAAGAAGAAGAAAAATCTGATGAGTTTGAACCAAAAACTTCATACAGGTAAAGAAGTGAAATGCTATTATAGCGAACAATATGCTTTTTATTTGTAATTCAGGTTTATGTTGTATTTTCAATACAGTAGGAAATTATCAGTATGTACTATGAAAAAAATTACATTGAAGCCCTTGAATTTCTTTTGTGTCTTTGGAGGATATATATGGACTTGCCTGTTCCATTCCTTTCAAATATATAGGAATTATACCCACATTCAAAAGATTGTGAAGAGCAGAAGAAAGATAATAGCACAATATCAGTAGCAATATGATTATTTAAATAACCTTCAATCTCTATTATATTTTTAAAAAAGCTCAACATGACTCAGCAAATATCGCAACAGGATGTTGAATTGCTCATTGTTATTTTAGTCAACAGAAAAAATTGTTGATGGTAGAGTAAAATCTTAGGAAGTCCTATTGAGTTATTTCTTCAGATCTCTGGGTCACATCTTGCTCATTCACAATTTTGTGTGTAATGACCACCACCTTTTTAATTATTTGGCTCCTGATCTCTGCAGAAAGTAGAAAAATATTAATTGATTAGAGACAGACCATGTTTGAACTAGGACTAAATTAGCTATAGTACTGTATTTTTACAAGTTAGCAGTTGTAGCAGCAGCAGCAGCAAGAGTCACCTCCCAAGAGTTTAGCAGACCTGGGAATATTAATACTTTTTGCATGGATGCTGGAAGGACAGCATGCAGGAAAAAGGGATAACAAATTCCTCTTACACTGATCGTCCTCTTTCATTTGTAATCTTAGGTTTCCCTAAAACTTGTATGCTGTATGTCCATGTCCTTTCCCATTAATTAGTATTTGATGAGACATATGGGGAAGGTGATTGGAAAGGCCATGAGGAGCAGATAAGAACTACAGACTAGGAAGAACATTTGTCAAGCATAGACCCATTATCTAAACCAGATTATGCAGATTCTTTAAAGCTAGATTTGCTAACTAAATGAATAACCAATAGGAAATTATGTGTGTGCTGTCTTGGGTATCTAAAAGAATCAATGTTGACTTTGAAATTTAAAAAAACAAACAAGAGTCCTTTGTTAAGCTTTCTATATTTATATGGAGGCTGCACGCACCTCTTCTCGGAAGGAAGCTATTATCAGATGCATTGGCTTCATTGATTTTGTGAGCATATGCATATCAATCTTTGACTTCCTAAAAGTAGTACTGCTGTTGTCTGGCAAGAACAAATGCTTACAGTCCCTGTGGACTTGAACTGATTCAGTCCAACAATCTTTAGCCTCTGCCTTTTTAAAATGATGATTGTGGAGAACAGCACCAAAGCTCAGGAGAGAATGAACCATGAGAATGACAAATTGCAGATGCCAGAAGCAGATAGCTATGTGTGCTAATGTCTCCACTGCTACTTACCTGCTTTTCCTGAGCTCAACACATCCCCTCTGCAAATACAAAACATGGCAAATGTTGTGTGTTTTGTCACTAGAACAATTTGCTTACCCGGCGTGCTTCCTGCTACGTATTTGTTTATCCCTGTGTCACAACACCCATGAGATCAGCTTCTGCAAACACCTGCTACCTTTGTGAAGACAGGATATTTTCTAGGTGCTATTTAAGGATTTTAGAATAATTGACAAATTTATTCATTCGTGACTTCACAAGGTAGCCACAATTAAATCCTGCAAGAGTCTTTCAATAGGATAAAATTCACTAGAGACCAGCTTCATTGTAAAGGTTGGCAAAGAAAGACTGTTGAGATGATTTTTTATCTGTGCCATTCTAAAATACACATAATCTTTCTTTGTATCTGAACATGTATTCTACTGATCAGTTGAATGGTTTTCTCCCCTTCATATCTGAACTGATAGAATAGTTAAGTTAGAGAGCACTTATTCAACCCTATACTTGGCTGCAACCTTAAATAGAAATGGAAAAAAATCATGGCTTGAGTCATAGAAAAATTGATTTATATCTGAATGGGGAAGCAGAGAAGCTTGTTAATTACTTTTACAGCCTTAATTTGCTACATTAAGAGCAACAAAGAGTTTGTGACGTTTCTTTTGCTGATCAGAATTTTCCAGTTTTTGAAATGCCTACCCTGACAGTACTTTCTGCCCTGTTGTTATCTGTAAATGGAGAAGTACACAAAGCCTGCATTTGGATAACCAATTTTTTTTTTAGTTTTCCCTTCGAGTAAGCAAAGTCTTATATCACAATGCAGGACCAAATTTATATTAAAGTTTTATTTTAAATAAACCAATGTTCCGAGGGCTCACTCTGTAGCTACTGAAATTGTTAGCTATGTTATGAAGTTACTCCATTGAATGGCTAATATTAGAAAATTAGTCAACCCTGCATCAACCCTTGGCTGAAGTTTTGTACAACTTTCTGTGGACCTAGTAGAATAATCAAGACATTTAATTCTCCAAAATGGGTTAGGACCCAAGAAAGATGAGTAGGGGAAAGAGATCCATCCCATTGTCACCTGTCTATTACGCCCTCAATCAAAACACGATAGTGTTCAATCTCATTCTCTAGCTTTGTCTTGAGGTCCAGAAGTGTTTCATAGTCTCGTGACTGTGTCTCCAGATCAGCCCGACAGGCTGCCAGGTCCTCTTGCAGATTAGCAATAACTTGGTTCAGATTGGCCAGGCCACTGAGATAGTGATCTTCTGTGTTTTTCAGTGTATTCTCCAAAGCATCCACCTGTATCATAGAGTACCTTGTGTTAATCTAGAGCTGAAAAAAACAAGTGTATCTAAACTTGGAGTCATACGTCTGCTTGTATGCAACTCATCCCCCCCACCCCAAATTTTGCTACAGAGGGTTCTAAAGCTGCATTCCACTTGATCAGTTAGGACAACTGGAGCTATGACCCCCAGGTATATTGAGGCATGATTCCCTGCAAATATGGAAACAGAATATCCACAGGTTTTCATTATCTGATTTTTAAAAAATTATTTTAATATGAATCAGAGCTGGAAGGGACCTTGGAGGTCTTCTAGTCTAACCTCCTGCTCAAGCAGGAGATCCTATACCATTTCAGACAAGTGGCTGTCCAGTCTCTTCTTAAACATCTCCAGTGATGAAGCCCCTACAATTTCTGAAGGCAAGCCATTCCACTAGTTAATTGTCCTCACTGTTAGGAAATTCCAGGTTGCTTCTCTCCTTGAGTAGTTTCCATCCATTGTTTCTTGTCTTGCCTTCTGGTGTTTGGAAAATAAGTTGACTCTACTTTTCTTTGTGGCTGCCCCTCAAATACTGAACTACTGCTATCATGTCACCCCGAGTCCTCCTTTTCTCTAGATTAGCTATATCCGGTCCCTGCAACCATTCTTCATACATTTGTCTCCAGACCTGTACTCATCTTAGTTGCTTCTTTTCACTTTTTCCAAAGTCTCAACATTTACAATGGGGTGACTAAAACTGGATGGAGTATTCCAGATGTGGTCTTACTAAGGGTTTATAAAGTGGTACGGATACTTCACGTTTTGAGTTTGATTCTATGCCTCTATACAACCAAGGATTATATTAGCTTTTTTGGCGGCGGCAGTAGCCACCGCACACTACTGCCACAGCTGAGCCAGAAATAATTTGGTACAAAACAGATGACGGTCAAAAATGACACAGCTGTGCAATGAGTTAACAGCACAAGGCTTCAGGATGGACTCATCCTCAGGATGATGATGCTCCTGGCCCAAAGTGAAAATAAAATAAATGCTGTTGATTTTCTAAAGATGTAGCTCGGTTACATGGGTCCACAACTGCAGCCTAATTTCATTTGTCTAAAATGGTATAGGGTTTCCTGCTTGACCAGAGGGTTGGAGTAGAAGACCTCCAAGATCCCTTCCAACTCTGTGATTCTGTTAAACAAGACTCAACAACTTGTAGAGTGTTCTAACACTCGTTAAGTTATTCTGGAAGGAAAAACGCCTTTGGATCCAGAACTGTTACAGAGACCGAAAGGGAAGAGAGCATTTCTTACCGTTTTCTGGAGAGTCTGGCGTTCAACCTCCAAGCTTTGCAACTGCCGGCGAAGGTCTGACAATTCACTCCTGGCCTGCTCAAGGGCTTGAGTGTTCATGCTGGCTTCTTGGGACATGGAGTCAACCTGCAAGAGCCAGGGACAGCAGACATGGGGTAGGTGAATGTTTAAAAAGTCCAGCCTTTGTTTCTTTTAGCCACTTTCTGCCAGTCCTCACCTTGGTTCTGTACCAGTCCTGGGTATCGTCACGATTCTGCTCAGCCACTTGCTCATACTGATTGCGTATGTCAGCAATAGTCTCACTCAGGTCATGTTTCTGTGGGTTGTCTACTTGAACGGTTACATCAGAGTTGGCCACTAGAGCAGTGAGAGCCTCCACCTCCTGCAGTGGAAAGAAGTGGAATAAGCAGCCTCCAACATCACACCCTAATTCCTATCACCTACTGGAACCAACCCTGTGTATTATGCAATAAATTTATTATAAATGCAGGTTCTTTTATGTTTACAATTACCTCCCTTTCTTCTTTTCTCGAATTCTGATTGGGGGTGGGTGGGAACCATATCTGACATTTTTAAGAGGAAAACTCTCTGACATTTTTAAGAGGTCATGTATGCTGATGGACTAGAGACAGACAGCTGTTTTTGGAAACTATGGAACTGCAAAGATGGGCCTTACTTCCTCGTGGCTTCTGCGCAAATGAGCTAGTTCCTGTCCGAGGGATTCCAGGTCCCCTTCTAGCTTCAAACGTAGGAAGTTGGTGTCATCTATTATTCTGTGCAATCCTTGCGTGTCTTTCTGGACAGTGTCGCATGCAGCCTGTTCTACTTCCAACCTAGAATGGGAGACAAGAAATCCAAATGAAATACAGGACATAGTCCATTCAGGGTGAAGAGCATAACAGTGTAGACGCATCTCTCTCTCTTTTTAAAAAATTTTTATTCTAGAAAAAAACATTTATTTGACATACATTTTAAACAGACAAATCAACATATATATACACACGCACACGCACATATTTTACAGCGTATATTGAGCAATGGTTAAAAAATTTTTTCTTTATCTTTATCATTGACGTGATCTGCCTTGTTACAATAACTGCTTCGTTCTTTTAATGTTTTAATTTCTCTATATAGTTTATAATTAAATGCACGTCTTCTGTCATTTCCATAACTTATCCAAATATCAGATATTACCTTTTCTTTAACCAATCATACCAAATGTTCCATATTTCATAATAGTTGCTATCTTGTTTATTTTTTAACAATTTGGTTAGGCTATCCATCTCAGCACATTCATGTATTGTTTAAATTACCATATCCTCTGAAGGAATGAAAGACAGTTTCCAGTTTTGTGCATAGGTTATTCTGGCTGCAGTTATAATGTGCAAAATTAAATATTTATATTTTTTCTCCATGTTTAAAACTATCATACTTAGCAGAAAGGTTTCGGGTTTAAGTTTTAAATTTTGTTTTGTTATATTTAAAATCCAATTTCTAATATTCCTCCAAAACTTCTGAGCACATGGGCAAGTCCACCACATGTGAAAATATGTTCCTTGTGCATAGTTACATTTCCAACACTTGGGTGGTAGGTTGGGGAACATCTTAGCCAGTCTCGCAGGAGGTAGGTGCCAGCGATGAACCATTTTGTATAAGTTTTCTTTATACGAGACTGACATGGTTAATTTGTAATTTGTTTGCCAGATGTGTTCCCACTTATCTAATTCAATACTATGACCCATGTTTTTAGCCCAAATTATCATAGATTGTGTGACTATTTCTTCTTTTAATTTGTAATCCAAAAGATATTTATAGTTTTACTAATTGTTTTCTTTTCCTCTCCTAGCCATATTTTATCTAATTCTTGTGGGGTCATATTAAAGCCAAATTGTTCTCTATCTTTTTTATAATGGGTTTATATTTGTGCAAAGGGCCACCATGCTATCTCCTTTCCTTGAATTTGTATTTGGTTCCTATTTTTAAGCACTCCAGTATCATATAGTAAATCTTTATACCTGACAATATTTTCATAATCCAATAGATTTGGATATGTGACTGCTTTCAATGTAGATATCCACAATGGAACCTTTGGATAGTGTTTTTTTTTTAATCTTTCCCCAGATATTGAACAACACATTTCTTACATGGTGCCTTTGGAAATATGAATGTTGTTTAGATTTTCCATCCCACATGAAGGCGTGCCAGCCAAGTTGGAGATCAAAACCTTCTAATACTAATAACCTTCTATTTTCTAATTTAACCCAATCCTTAAGCCAGTTTACTATAGTAGCATCATAATATAATTCAAAATCTGGAAGGACAAATCCTCCTTTTTTCTTGGCATCCTGTAATAATTTATATTTCACTCTGGGTTTTTTCCTCTGCCATATAAATTTAGATATACATTTGTTTAATTCTACAAAAAAATTCTTTTCCAACTTGACTGGCACTGTCTGAAACAGGAACAACAGTTTTGGCAAAATATTCATTTTTACTATCAAAATACGTCCCAATAGCGATAACTGCAATTTGGCCCAATTATCTAAGTCTTTAACTATTTGCATTATTAACTTATCATAGTTATCTTTTTTAATCGACGAACATCTAGCAGTCAACCAGATCCCTAAGTATTTTACTTTATTTACCACCTGCATACCTAATTTATTTGCTTCCTTCTGCTCCTATGTACAGTTTTTTGTTAACACTTTTGTTTTTTCTTTGTTAATTTTTAACCCTGCCACCTTTCCATATTCTTCTATTTCTCTTAGTAGTATAGGGCTCTTTTCTAAGGGTTCTTCTAATATAAATGCCATATCATCGGCGAATGCCTAGAGTTTATATTCCTCTTTTTTAATTTTTAGTCCTCTAATCTCTTGATTTTGCCTAATTTGTACTAAGAGTCTCTTCTGCCAATATATACAGTAGAGGAGCTAGGGGGCAGCCTTGTCTTACTCCCTTATTTATCTTTATGGTATCTGTATTTTCCCCATTTATTAATATTTTTGCGGTTTGCATGTTATAAATTGTCTTAATAAATCCTATAAAATTTTCACCAAATTTCATGCCTATCAGTTGTTTAATAAGGAAGTTCCAATTCAGGTTGTCAAAAGCCTTCTGGGCATCTAAAAATATCAATGCCATTGGTTTGAGTATACTTCATAAGTATTGGTTGAGTATACTTCTCTAATATATTAGAATATTGGAATATACGTCTTGGTTGAGTATACTTCATAATATTCTAATATATCCATAATGGTTCTTGTATTTGTTTTTATTTGCCTATGGGGGAGGAAGCCATTCTGATCAGTGTGGATAATTCTACTTAATACTCTCTTTAATCTTTCCACCAATATTGTAGCCATTATTTTGTAATCTACATTTAAAAGTGATATTGGTCTATCGTTTTGAATTTTTTGTGGGTCTGACTGTTCTTTATAAATAAGGGTAATATATGCTTCCAACCATGATTTAGGCCGCATGTCTCTTTTTAACATAAATTATTACAACAGATCTGAAAAAGAGGCTGTAGACAACTGCTTATATTTACACAGTATCTCATTTTTTCTGCCAAGTTGGCAGCTACTATACATTTTCGCTAATGGAACTGCAACTTCTCAAGATGCTGAATAAACTATTTATTTAGGGGACAAGACTAGCACCCTATATTTCAGACTTCTGAAAAACTGAACCAGCTCTTCAAAAATCTTTATCCTGCAACTAAGTCCTTTTTAGTCAACACAGAGTTTCCTGCAATTTAAAATACAGATAGTTTTTCCCCAAATGATTCAATGTAGCCCTTGGCCTCCAAGAGGTAGCCTAAGCTTGATTTAAACATTGATCCAGAGCTTTCTAATTCAAAGCCAAAATAGGTGTTTATTCTTGAACTGCACAGATCAGAATTTTGGCATGGGAAAATCAAATATAATTAGGAATAAGAGATTACAAAACAAGGCCATGATGAATATATAGGCAGCCATGTGTTATCAGCACTTAACTGACAGTGTAAACAAAGGTACTAGAACATTATTGCTTACTTGTGCTTAAAGTCATCTGTTGCCAGCCTGGCATTATCAATTTGCAGAAGCAGCCTGACATTCTCCATATTCAGCTCTTCAACCTGTCAGAGAGACAGAACTCTTAAAATATAACATAGTGGCACAACCTATGTAAAAAGAGTGCCATTGCATTCATTCGGTTTTACCTCCAGATAAAGAGTACTCTTGCCAAATTTACCCTCTTCTTGTGTTTTAGATCTGTCCAAATAAACAGCTGGTTTATTTGTTCCTTCCTTTAAAAATAATAATTGGCGTATGCCTGATTTTTCTTTGTATGAATTGTGAGACTATAGAAACATTGTTTTACTTAAAACTGTTAAGTGTAGAACTCTAATAAAATAGCAAGGTATCATTTGAATAATGACATATGTCATATTTAAGGGCTGGGATCTAATCAAAGTACATACTGTCAAGCATTCTTCTTCCATCAGAAGATACACAAATGTCTTTTAAGGGAGTGGTGTCTTCATTAGAATACTTAATTTAAACTCCTGAACGTAATGATTCTTGTGGAAATAGAAAGGCAAAACTCTTCAGAAAGCCTTCAGAAGAGTTTTGTAGCAAACAAATCCTATTGTATTTGGACTACAGCTGCACTGAGACTTGCCTTGCAATTTCTCAAACTTTTTTCTTTCTTATTTCCAAAAGAGCGTGTGACATGCATTCAAGTTCATTCCATAGATTCTTAGATAAGATTGGAAAAACCATAGGAAATTCTTGCCAATCAAGGGTCAAAAATATGGAGTTAAGTAGTCCAAAATGTAAGGTTGATTTAACTAGCTATAGTGACTTTGCCTTGACATATTATGCCTTCCTCCAGGTCAATCTCATTTTCTTAACTCCTGCTGAAACCAGCCAGATCTTGTAATCAAACACTGGGTTGCTGTCCAAATAATTTGAAATATTTGCAAAGCAAACTAATATCTTTGTTTTGATCTGCATATCCCAGGTTATAAAAATAAAGGGAGGATTAACTATTATATTGACCAGAGTGAGTCACTTATGAAATGCCATCTGGTGGTTGATAAATAACCTAGCTGTTAAGATATCAATAACTCAAACATTCAAATTGTTCTGTCACATTAATTAACTTTATTCTACAGGCTGATAGTATCTCAAGTGGATCATGTCTCACAGCGTATTAAATCAGGCCTGCTGTTCCAGGTGCCCAAGCTTTAAACATCACCCTTGTTGCAAAAATAAACAATCTGTATGAAAGTGTGGGTGTGAGAGAAAAGTTGCAGGTATTTTTATAGACATTTTCAAGAAAAAGCATAAGCAAACAGAAATAAATGACCCATAAAAAGAATAAGTAAAATACATATTAGCACACAAAGGATCTAAAAATATCACGAATGTCCTAATACAGTATATCATTAATGAATTATGAATAATTTGAAATATCACTGTAAAAGATTATGAATCATGGCTAAGCTTTGAGCTAAAAATTAATTTCGGGAGCTGTAGTTAAATCAAGTGAGATTGTAAATTGTAATAAATTGAATTCTCACAGAAAATTTATTCTAATCAAATATATCTCTTGAAAGTAAAATATAGGCAGCAGATCACTAGGCCTGAGCCTTAGTCAGGTTCCCATGCAAAGGACAAGGCTTCAGTGTTAGCCAATCAGCAGCCTCTATTGGCAACTTGGGGCTGTCCAATGACTTATTACATCAGATTATTTTATTCATTTCATTCATTCTTTAATTAATTCATTATGAATTGAATAGTAGGTATACTTGCTCTATATGGGATATTTATCTCTCCACATCCAAGAGAGAAAACAATCACATATAATCTTAAGACATTTTGGGAAACTATTTATCCCCAAAAACAAATGTTTCTTTTGGATAAAGTTATTTTATCCATAGATTGGAGGGGGGGAATCATATATGCTTTCAAAAATCAAGATAACTCCCTCACATTTTGAATAATTTAAAACAATTTGGGGGGGGGGGTTGGTCATCACTCAGAGATAAATTGAGCCCATTGTTATTTTACTAGATTCAGCCTGAAAGAAGAATCTTCCTTCTGCTTGGATTTGGTTTTCTAGGGTCCATGGTAAATTTTTCACATACAGTTACTTCATTTTTTCCCATCTATCCAAGGCCACACATTTTTGATCAAGGTATTTACATTTTAACAGATTTACATCACAATATTATTTCTTTTATTGTAAACTGCCCAGAGTCACTTACGTAAGATGGGTGAGACAGAAATGTGAATAAATAAAATTTTAACACATTGTTGATTTGTATTCCAAACACACCCAGAAGTAACTATGTCAGCATTCTTATGATTCTTATAAGGAACAACTTGTCTTGATTTAAAACTGGAGGAGTAGAATGAATAACGTAAAACAGGACTGGTCTGACCATTGGGAACTTTTAGGTGAGACTGGCTATTGCAGACTAGCAATAAGTGGCTCATGACATATTCGTCATTATTATTATTATTATTGAAAAAATGTATGAATGTCTGCCATTGATCTAAACTGGCTGCTGCATGTTTCAGCACCTATCAGTCTTGGCGTTATAACAGTAGTCCAAAAATCAACTGAGTAGAAATTTGCATTCTTCAAAGAGTGAAAAACAATGCAATAGATGTATAATTTTCCAGGAAACAAATCTGCAATGGTAAAAATAATTGACTTTCAAGACTAGCAATTAAACCAAGATGACCAGATCCACATTGCAAACATCTAGTTAACCAGTAAATGACTTCATGGGTTTTCATTGTGGTGGTTGTTGTTTTGTCACCCAGACTTTGTCACCCAGACCTCTTACAATACCAGACAACACAGTATCAATAGTAGAGACCTTCAAGTTTCTATGTTCTATAATATCTCAAGACCTAAAATGGACACTTAACATCAAAAATGTCATCAAAAAAGCAGAACAAAGAATGTTCTTTCTGCGCCAATTCAGAAAGTTTAGACTGCCAAAAGAGCTGCTGATACAGTTCTACAGAGGAATTATTGACTCTGTCATCTGCATCTCTGTAGCTATCTGGTTTGGTTCTGCAACCAAACAAGACACAGACTTCAGAGAGTAATTAGGACTGCAGAAAAAACAATTACTACCAACCTGCCTTCCATCAAGGACCTGTATACTGCACGAGTCAAAAAGGGGGCTGTAAAAATATCTACAGACCCCTCACATCCTGGACCAAAATTGTTTCAACTTCTACCTTCAAAACGACACTATAGGGTATTGCACAACAGAACAACTAGACGCAAAGACAGTTTTCCCCCCATGCCCTCACTCTGCTAAACACCTAATTCCCACAACACTGTCAAAACTATTTATGGTAGTAAGGCTATATTACTATTATTATTCTCATCTTTCCTATTACCTGTCTCCTTTTCTACTTATGACTATGAGTATATTTGTTGTTGTATCATTATGATTTATATTGTTTTATTCAGTTTCCTAGTATGATTTATGTTGATTGCTTATTTAGTATCCAATGACTATCATTAAGTGTTGAATCTTATGATTTATGATGTATTTTTATGATGACTATGATAATGGTTGATCACTTATACCTTTTATGTACACTGAGAGCTTTTGCACCGAAGACAAATTCCTTGTATGTGCAATCACACTTGGCCAATAAATAATTCTATTCTATTGTTCTGTTCTGTTCTATTCTAATTTTCTATTCTTTATTTTGCGCCCCAGACTTGGTAACCTTAAAGTAAACTAAAATGATTGCATTTTAAGGCAGGAAAAAAGGGTATTTTAGAGGATAGGATTGCAATCTTTTTTACACAATTATTTAACCACATAAGACTCAGCTCTCTGGAAAAGCCCTTAACCCTGGAAAAGATGGAAGGTAAGAGAAAAGGATAGCATGCAGCAACATGGATGGACTCCATCACAATGGCCATAGGAGCATGATTGGAAGACCTGAGCTCAGGAATGGAGCCTTGTGGAGAAAATCTATCTCTGGTTACCAGGAGCTGAGAACAATTTCAATGCCAAATAAATCATTACAGGCCAGATAGAATGTGAGTCTGAACCCAAGATCCTTTTTTATTTTGGTAACTGTACAAGGAAGAGAAAAAAAAAATCAGTTAAAAAAAACCAATTTGTCTTGGGCAAAAATAGAAAATCATCCTGTACTTGGGCTGCCCTCTTATGTAATTCCCTTCCTTGTTTGGGGTTTATTCAAGTAAATATTAGTTTATAGCAAAATCCGGTTGAAAACAGGGTGCGGTATCTTGCATGGGTGCTTTTAAACAGATTACAACAGGACATAGTCACAACTAAGGACAGTTTTATACCTATACCACACCTATTCCCCATGTTTTCCAAAGCAACCCAACCTACCATTCATAAGACAAGCAAGGAACAAAGATCACCACCATTGCCCCGAGCTGCAGTAGGTCCTGAAATAATAAAACTCCCCTTAATCTGACTCCCTGCCCACCTGCCTATGAGCTTCCAATTCTGTGCATTTGTTCAAGCACCTGCAAAAAGAATCATCCAGCTGTTCGTATGAATGAGAATTAAAAGAAAAACATCAAGCTATTCATCCCTCCAAAAGACCTGCAACCCAGTCTCTGGAGCTGTGATGATAAGAATGGTTTCTTCAAGTATAGAAACAGATCACCCAACTGTTTGATACAGTCACAACAAATTCACCCAATGATCCCCATTGCTGAAAACAAATCAAAGAAGCTCAGTGTAGGGATGCATCTTTCTCATCCCCCATGTAGTTACTGTTTGTATTTTTTAATCTTGTCTTTTTTTTAAAGAATAGAATAGAATACTTTATTGGCCAAGTGTGATTGGACACACAAGGAATTTGTCGGTGTAATTGCTCTCAGTATACATAAAAGAAAAGATACATTCGTTAAGAATCAAGAATCATAACGTACAACACTTAATGATAGTCTTAGAGTACAATCAGCAATCAAATCATACTAGGAAACAGTCAATATAAATCATAAGGAAACAAGCAACAAAGTTACAGTCCTACAAGCACAAGTGGGAGGGGATGGGTGATAAGGAGTGATGAGAAGATTAACAATAATAGTAGTGTTGAAGGAATTATTTGTTTAGCAGAGTGATGGCTTTCAGGAAAAAACTGTTCTTGTGTCTAGTTGTTCTGGTATGCAGTGCTCTATAGCATTGTTTTGAGGGAAGGAGTTGAAACAGTTTATGTCCGGGATGTGAGGGATCTGTAAATATTTTCACAGCCCTCTTTTTGAGTTGTGCAGTATACAGGTCCTCGATTGAAGGCAGGTGGGTAGTAATTGTTTTTTCTGCAGTCCTAATTATCCTCTGAAGTCTGTGTCTGTCCTGTTGGGTTGTAGAACCAAACCAGACAGTTATAGAGATGCAGATGATAGACTCAATAAATCCTCTGTAGAACTGGATCAGCAGCTCCTTGGACAGTTTGATCTTTCTGTGTTAGCTCAGAAAGAACATTCTTTGTTGTGCTTTTTGATGGCGTTTTTGATGTTAGGTGTCCATTTTAGGTCATGTGATATAGTAGAACCTAGACATTTGAAGGTCTCTACTGTTGATACTGTGTTGTCTAGTATTGTAAGAAGTGGTAGTAGGGTTTCTTCTAAAGTCTTCTAAAGTTCCTTAGAGATGTTCCCACTTTTTCATATTCCTTTTTTAAAAAAATATGCATCCAATTTAAATCTTTCAACTGTAGCTCTGCAGCCCATTTCCCAATATATCTCTTTGCCCATCATTTACAAGACGTTGGTTTCCCATGCAGTTTCCCTTTTCCCTTTCCTACAGAGAATTTGGAATGTGTTTATTCTAACCTTTTCTACTAATTGCCCGTCTAATGATGAAGTTTTGCAGCTTCATCTACTTCTTAGAATTGTTTTGAGGTTACAACAGTATCTAAAGGATTCCGAAGACTCTGGAACAGTTTTCTCCAATCTTTGTCCTCCAATCAGCATAGCCTGGGTGATGGAGTAGACACATCTGGAAATACCAGATAGAACAAGCTATTCAATAGCATTTTGAAATACTCTGAAATACCAATACTTGAGATTTAGAATACCATCCTTCTTGCAACTCCTTTATGTCCAGCTTGTTCCTCTGACTCATCTAGATTTAACAGATGATCCTGATTCACTATTTCTTTAAAATATGAACATTTATCTGGTCATCTGCATACTTCTGTACTTTTCATTTTTATTATTAGGTACTTTTGTTGTGTTATGAGCCACCAAGAGTCTATTTTATGATTGCCATGGGATGCAGATATGATAAAGAAGTCTGTGAAATCCAACAGGGAGAGCTCCAAGAACATATAAGACTACGGTAGCATTTTTAGCTTTTGTATTCATTATTTTTAACCCAAGGCAGCACGCATCGCTCCTGCACCTATTTAAAATCTATTGTGTGTTGTGATTATATAGAGATATAGATTATAAAATCACTATTAGAGTAAAAGTGGATATGCTTATGCCACCCAATACTCACCTTTGGTTAAGAAGAAAAGCTAAAGTAAAAAATAACACAGTAAAATGAATAGCTATAACCAGTCAATGCCTGATTGCCTCCTCTCCCTCCCACTGGGGTTTGGGCCATTACTTTGTGACCCAAATCCAATCATTGACAATGATTGTTTTGATCCCTCAGCCTCTCTTTTGATCCCCATAATTTCAAGTGAGGCTGGAATCAAGGGAACCAAACACTAAGGTACTTTTAGAGTGCCAGGTTGAAGATGATCCTTTGCTCAAACTCCAGCACGTCCCCAAAGTTCTCGTAGGAGCCGCATTTCTTTCTTTGCATCCTATTTGCTCTGGGGTTTTTAATGCTTCTCTTCAAAAGAGGGATGGGAAAATATTTACAGACCCCTCACATCCCGGACATAAACTGTTTCAACTCCTACCCTCAAAACGACACTGTAGAGCACTGCACACCCAGAACAACTAGACACAAGGACCGTTTCCCGAACCCCATCACTCTGCTAAACAAATAATTCCCTCAACACTGTCCAACTATTTACAAAGTCTGCATTACTATTACTATTAATCTCATCACTCCTTATCACCCATCCCCTCCCACTTGGGATTGTAGGACTGTAACTTTGTTGCTTGTTTCCTTACAATTTATATTGACTGTTTCCTAGTATGATTTGATTGCCGATTGTACCCTATGACTATTATTAAGTGCTGTACCTTATGATTCTTGACTTTTCTTTTATGTATACTGAGAGCATTTGCACCAGGACAAATTCCTTGTGTGTCCAATCACACTTGGCCAATAAAGAATTCTATTCTATTCTGTTCTGTTCTGTTCTAATTGTGCCCTATGACTATTATTAAGTGTTGTACCTGATGATTCTTGACGAAAGTATCTTTTCTTTTGATTTACACCGAGAGTATTTGCACCAAGACAAATTCCTTGTGTGTCCAATCACACTTGGCCAATAAAAGAATTCCATTCTTCGGGGAACTCTTACACACACACACACACCCGTCCTATTTACTACTCTCCCCTCACCTGCTTGCGCAGCGCAGCCAGGGGCTGCTCGCAGGCTTCCCAGTCTTTACGGCCAACCGTCCCAGATCTGCTAGACCGGGTGGCGGCGATCTCCTCCTCCAGGGCTCGGTTGGCCGCCTCGAGCCCCCGCACCCGCTGCAGATAGCCGGCCAGGCGCTCGTTCAACCCCTGAAGCGCCTCCTGCTGCCGGGCCGGGCCCAGCAAAGAAGGAGCCGCCGCTACGCTCAGTCGGGCTGCCGGGAGCACCGCACGGAGCCGGCTTAACAGCACGTCGGAACCGCTGGAGTTGCCCCGCACGGAGGAACCGGAGAAGAACCGTCCGGAGCTGTTCCAAGGATGAGGAAGAACGAAAGCCATTGTGCTACCTAAAGTACCTGAGCGCCTTTGGGTGCCCTATCGCCTGGTTATATCAGCGGGCTTTCTAATTTGCATGCCCAAGTAGCGGTCGGCCAATGAAGAAAACGCTGGGATTTTTCATTGGTGGAACAACGCCCGCCGATCCTCGCAATTTGCATGCAGTGAGAGAAACTAGCCAATAAAGAAGCGTCCTATTTGCATAAACCTTTTTTTTTTTTTTTTAGTGACCAGAGTAGAAAAAAGCGCCTTTATGTCAGCCTTCACTAATAGCTTTCAAGCAACTTTGTTTAGAGGCCACATAAAAGATCCCGTTGGAAAATTACGTTACGGGGACTGTCGGGAGAAGTGCAAAACTCAGACGCTGTGGGGTTGGAGTATACGGAAAAAGACTCTTGCTCGTCTCTGGTATTAAGTCCGGCCGCTCTAGGTATCCCGGCGCGGGCGTGACTTGTTGGGAATGCAAATGAGGTATGCAAATGAGGGAGCGGGGATACAATACGGGCGAAGGTCAGGTGACGATTGAGTGGGAGTTCGTCTCAGCCAATAAAACGCCACGATACGCCGAGAGGGTGGAGCCGAGAGTTTCTCAGGTACGGTATTTATTTCGTACGGGGCACCGAAGTTCCGTGTCTCGCTTTGGAGAGTCACAAGCGCGCTTTTGCACCATGAACATCACTTACTATGGCCCGAGGCGTACGAGCTTTAGCAGCCGATCCCTCGGATCCCTTCCGAATCGAAGCTCTTTGTACCGAGCCAGTTCGGGCAGCTTTCAGCCGGGACTCTACCGAGGCTCCTTCAGTGCTTTGTCCAACTCTCCCCTCTCTACCTCGACGCCTTTCCTCCTCCCCTCGCTGCCCGCTTTGGAGATTGACCCCAAGCTGCACCAGATTCGCACGGCAGAGAAGGAACAGATCAAGGGGCTCAACAACCAGTTCGCCTCCTTCATTGACAAGGTGCGGGTTCGCAGGCGCCGATGCAGGCGAGCGCGTTGTGGGAGAGGGAAGCGTAACTCCGTCTGTGCCGAGTTGGAGCCTTCCGCGTAACAAAGAGGGTATTGAAAGAGGGGGGGGAAGTATGTCTAAAAATTTGGGATACAGACCTGCGTGGATTCCAAGTTGTCTGTCTCGTTTAGTGCTTCCATTAAGCTGGGACACCATTTTAATCTCGGTAGTTTTAAAGCTGTACTTCAGACTGCAAAGGAAATAAAATCCAGGGAAAAAAGTTAGTGGTAATTTCTCTTATATTTTGTAACGCAGAAAACCACTTGAATATCTCCATAAAGTCATCAAGGATTGCATTAAAGTTTAAGAACTGTGGTGCTTATTACCTTGATGGCAAAAAGAATGGTGCTTATTTTAAAAAAAAAACAACCTTTAAAGCAAAATCGAATATAATAGAAAGCGACCATAACAATGTAAGGATGCAACCAAAATCAGTAGATGGAATGCTTCCCAGACCATTTCTTTTATTACCCAAAGCCACCTACGAGCAAGTCCTTATTTAAAAGTCCCTGTGGTTGAGTTAGGGTTTCATGTGTTGTTATCCCCCCCCCCAAAAAAAAAACCCTTTTACCCAATTTTGGATAATTTACCCAGATTTGGTAAGCACTGGCATAAAGTTTCCAGCAGCCACAGAGCAGAGTGAAAATAGTGCAAAAAGAAGAAAAAGGTATAATAAACCTACACAGAGACTGTAGTGACACAAGATGGGAGGGTAAAATAACAGTTTTCAGGAATCCTTCCTTCCATCAATAACTCAAGAGAAAAGGTGCAAAGCAGTGTATCTTAAGAGGTTTCCAAACTGAGCATTGGTAATGTGACCAAAGTGGTGCAGGAAACAGGGTTAATTCTCCTTTCACTGTGGTCACATGGTTACTAGCTTGAAAAGAAACTTTAAAGAGGTAGAATCCTTGGAGTAGGGTTCTTTTTTCTGCACATATCTTTCAAACCAGTGGTGGATGAAAAATTGTTTACTACCAGTTCTGTGGGCGTGGCTTGGTGGACGTGGCGGGGGAAGGTTACTGCAAAATCTCCATTCCCTCCCTACCCCACTAACCTGCTTTCCAGCTCTGTTCTCCTGTGCAGGGCAACAAAAGAAAACCCAACCGATCAGCTGGGACTCAGGAGGCAGAGAATAGATGGGGGTGGGGCCAGTCAGAGGTGGTATTTGCCGGTTCTCCAAACTACTCAAAATTTCCGCTACCAGTTCTCCAGAACTGGTCAGAACCTACTGAATACCACCTCTGTTTCAAACCCTCTGTAGATTCTCGTATGTATGTATGTTACACAATATAGCTGTTCTAATTTCAGACAGCAAACAAGTAAACAGTAAAAAAATAAGTAAAAAACAAAAATACAGAACATTGCAGAGCTTCCAACAACACTTTCCCATATATCCACAAGGCATGGTTCTGTGCAACAGTCTCATACTGTCCCATAGGTTTTCTTTAGGTCTTTTTGGAAGACCCGAGGGGTGGAATCTAATGAGTAAGGCTATCCCAAAGGGCAAGGAAAGGGTACTGAGAAGATGCATGTCTAGGTTCCACTAGATTTAAAAGAAGTGACTTGGAACCTCCCACCCTATAAGACGTAGTGGAACAGGCAGGGAAAGGTGATCCCACGAATAATCTAGTTCTGTACCTTTCAAAGGTTTAAGGTGAAAAACAACGTCTTGAATTCCACTCAGAAAAATTTGGAAGACAATGCAACTGATCACCAAACTAATGACAAAACATAGAATGACCCGCTTAGAACTGGCAATGAAGGGATCAAAGTGGTGGATAGTTATCTGCCTTTTGGGATCAACCATCAACAATAAAGGAATGAGCAGCCTGGATATCTGCCAGAGACTAGCACTTGGTAGATCATGACAGTCTTGGAAAAGATATTCAAATATTTTGATGTCTTTATCACTACAAAGCAGAGGTGGGTATTCAGCAGGTTCTGACCAGTTCTGGAGAACCAGTAGTGGAAATTTTGAGTAGTTTGGAGAACTGGCAAACACCACGTCTGACTGGCCCCGCCCCCATCTATTCTCTGCCTCCCGAGTCCCAGCTGATCGGCTGGGTCTTCTTTTGTTGCCCTGCACAGGAGAACAGAGCTGGAAAGCAGGTTAGTGGGGTGGGGAGGGAATGGGATTTTGCAGTAACCTTCCCCTGCCACACCCACCAAGCCATGCCCACCAAGCCATGCCCACAGAACCGGTAGTAAAAAAAAAAAAATTGAATCCCACTACCACTACAAAGATCAGAATCATACAAGCCACAACAGTATTCCCTGTGATACTGTTTGGAAGAAAAAAGTTGAACTTTGAAGAAGTAGAAGAGTATTGCTGCCTTTGAACTCTGGTGTTGGAGAAGATTCCTGAGAATATCATAGATGGCTAAGAAATAAACTAATGGGGCATTGAATCAACCCAGAGTTCCGATTTGAGGCACAAATTTTCCTACTTCGGACACATTACACAAAGAGTTATCTTCCCGTAGAAGATTGTAATGATGGGAAAGGTGGAAGAAAAGACAAAAGGGGGATAACCAGTGGTGGGATTCAACTGGTGTAACAACCAGTTTGGTGAGTGTGTGGTTCGCTCGTGCAGCGTTTGAAAACTGCCCATTTTCAGCTCTAAAACTTACCTTCTGCTGCAGCCCCGGTGAGTAAAACAGCTGATGTGTGCCAATCCGCTGTGCCACACGAATCAGCTGGGCTGCAAAACACAGAAATATAGGACAGACTAGGGCAGGGACCGGTGGGCGGGGCCAACTAATCGCCAGAAATACTGGTTCATCCACTCCTGGGGATAACCACCAGCAAGGTAGTTAGACACAGTTACTTAAGGGATGGATCCTTGGAAGTGCTGAAGGTCAAGGTTAAAAGCCTAACTTAGGAACCATGGAGAAAATTTATGTGGTTATTAGCAGGGGTGGGATTCTACCAGTTCGCACCTATTCGCTAGAACCGGTTGTTAACATTCTAAGCAGTTTGGAGAACTGGTTGTTAGAAGAAATTACTGGCCTAATCCTGTAAGGGAGGCAGGAAGGAAACGTTCTGGTGTTGCTTACAGAAAGTGCCTCTCCATTAGCCCTTATTACATTCTTGGCAGGACTAGACTTCCTGTCTCAGGAACTTCTCTGGAGTTTTTTTCCCCTACTTTGCTGGTACTTTGCTTGTGTGGAGTGACCATTCAAAGTTACAATGGCACTGAAAAAAGTGACTTATGACCGTTTTTCACACTTACGACTGTTGCAGCATCCCCACAGTCATGAGAGGCCAGGCGAGGAAATGCATGCCTAGATGTGAGTGATGTTGAGTTGGCCACGCCCAGCCAATAACATGACTACCAAGCCACACCCACCAACTAAGCCACGCCCACAGAACCAGTTGTTAAAAAATTTGAATTCCACCCCTGGTTATTAGGAACAACTTGATGGTTCATGATCATAACCAAGTATAGCTCACACAGCAACAGTATAACACAGGTGAATAATGGGGTGGCAAAAAATGTACACAGTGCCGCATTCTGGACCAGTTGTGACTTTATGCTGAGAAAAAGACTCCATGGCAAGAATTTGCTAAGGAGATCATCTGTTAAAGTTTAACTGATATGTGGGAGGCAAGCAAAAGTGTAAATAACTGAAAATGGGTGCTTAACAGTAAATTCAGGAATCTTACATGGTGGATATGTGGGAATGTACATAAGTAGCCAAGTAAAACTCTTGCATCTTAAATGCCTTTCCTGATTGTCTTTTCAGTTGCTTGTTTATCTCCCTGTTTCCCTTCTCCAAGGTACGCAAGCTTGAGCAGCAGAACAAAGTGCTGGAGACACAGCTGAAACTTCTGAAGGGCAAAGACCAATACAAATCCAATGTGGGGCATATTATGACAGCCCACAGCCAGCCCCTTAAGCAGCAGATAGACATGCTCAGTCAAGATAAGATGAAATTGCAAAATGAGCTGGACCAGACGCAGACATTTCTGGAGGAACTAAAAAGCCAGTGAGCAAATCATGAGAGTTAATGGGAGATTTGTTGTTTAATATTCTGTTTGTCTGCATGAGTATATGTGTGCGTCAGGAATTGACTTCAGAATTTTTTTCAAGGGAGCAGGCTTTTTTTTCAATGAACTTATGAGTAGAATATGGTGGGTGTGTCATTAGTTATAAAGTGCTCAGGATGGGTGAGTATAATGAAGGGTAGTGCACCAATCCATCTGCAGCCACTTTTGTGTAAGAACTGATTTTCAAATGCACACAGCCTGATACCAGATCTGTCTGTTACCAAAACTGTCCTTCCTTCCCAGAAGAGACTAGCTTCTAGTCATTATATTACACTGATGAGAACAAGAGATGCAAGAATTTGAACAATAATTTATTTATAAATAGGTCTTGTATTTGATGCACAACAGATACTGGAATACTTTAGCTTTTCTACAGAACATTTACATAGAAGAGGTTATCTATTTCCAGTTCGGTGTGCTGGGAGAAAACTGACATTTGGCTTCCCACATTCCATTAAATCCCAAGGGAAGATATAATAAGGGGAATGTCTCTACTATAATTGATGGTTGTGCCCTCATGAAGTTTTTGAGCATTTATTCTTTTGCCTGGAAAAAAAAAATCATTTCCCACTCATTTCCCTGCCCACACATGAGATGAAAAATTTGGGAAAGCAATTTTATGTTCCGTCTTATTTTACCTCAGGTTCAGTTTTAATATACCACCTATTGAATTCCCAGTGCTACAACTATCAATAGCTAGTTTCCTATTTATTTTATTACATTAATATAAAATGGTACAAGTTGGATGCTTTGAAGACAGGTCTTGTAGAAGCTAGAGAAAAGGAAGTTGGTAATTGGTACATGTCCATTCAACACCGACATCAATTGGTTCCCCATTGCACTTTACAACTATTGTCTCTTGTCCTCTAATCTATAGGTATGAAGAGGAAATAAATCACCGTAACCAACTGGAAAATGAGTTTGTGGTGACGAAAAAGGTGAAATTACTGGTGCACTAAAAATTAGTGGGACAAGGCCTTCTTACCTTTGATTAATCTGGGATTGCTTTTCTCTCTTCTGCCACTTCCAGCTCATACAACTTTCTTTCCTGAGGAATTTAAACTGTTTTCAGTGTCAGCTTTCCTTTCCCCATATTCACCCATTCCCCTTACTTTTTCTTTTCTTTCTGAGCAATAGGACAGAGGGCTGTTGGTATGACGGAAGGGAGACTGTTTTCGCTTCCACACTGTACACCCTTCTGTGAAATAGGAAAAGTGCACACAAGGTGGATAGATGGTTAAATACATAGGCATAGTAGCCTGACTCGATTTCCATTCTCATTTAACTTTAACTAGAGAGAACCAAGTGAAGTTCACTTGAACTATTCTTTCTTCCTGCATATATTTGCTCAAGTTTCCAGAACTTTGGAAAAGAGCATTGTTTTGCTATATGCAAGATGGCTCAGAGGGCTTCCAGCCAAACAGAGAAATTTGCTTTCTGGAGAAATGCAGCATTCCAAAAAGCTGTTGAATCCCTTCAAGCAGTTCAAAGCCCTTGCATGTTCCTTTACCCAAGTATAATATTGTGACTCAGCTTTGCATATCCACCCCATGCGTGCTTGCATTATATCTTTACTGACAAATTATATCCCCACTTTTGTTGATTTAAAATACTGGAAGTACTAAATGAGGGAAGGTACAGTCTTTTTTTTTTTTAAGTAACAACTGTACAAGTAGTATTCAACCACAAGGGAACCCAAAATTTATGTTGCTAAGAGAAAGAGTTGTGTTAAGTTAGTTTTTCCTATTTTACAACCTTTCTCGACACAGTGAATCACAGCAGTTGTTAAGATACACAGCAGTTTTTAAGTTAGTAACATGGTTGTAAAGAGAATCTGGCTTCCCCATTGACATTGCTTGTCAGAAGGTTGCAAAAAGTTATCACATGACCCCAGGACACTGCAATCCTCTTAAATATGAGTCTGTTGCCAAGTATCTGAATTTTGATCACGTGTCCATGGGGATGCTGCAACGATCGTAAGTATGAAAAGTCAATTTTTTCAGTGCTTGTAACTTTGAACGGTCATTAAATGAACTGTTGTAAGACTCCTTGTATTTGTTTAAAAGCTCATTTTTAAAAAAGCCAACTCTAGGCAGACTCACAATCACTATAAAAAACACAAACCCGAATAAAAACCCAGTGCCTCAGTCATCTCCTTGGGAGGCCCCACAACCAACTCCAGACATCTTATCTCTATCCTAACACCTGGGTAATGATGGACTTCTGAAAGGTTGAAAAGGTGGAGGCTTACCGAATTTTGCATGAAAAGCTGGGGCCACCATAAAAAAATGAATAAGAACAGGAAAAGAACTAAATTTGACAGAATGAAATATGACTGTAGTTATAATTAAATTACATACTATCATTTTGATTATTCACAGAGTGCATTTTAATAATTCTCCCTATTAATCACATATTAAATATTATGATTTGGAGACAAATTAGAAGCTCACCAAAAGTTTTAGGGCCATATGTTCGACCTTGTATTAACTCAAAAATTGGAAAACTTCCACCTCATACAGTACTTAGTGAGATTCAAGGAACAAGATAGGCATCCAGAGGCGAATCCTGCTATCTGCTGTTCTTTTCTGGCAGGACCTGGATGATATTTACTTGCAGAAAGTAGATGTTGAATCCAAGCTGGAGAGTATCACAAATGAAATTAAATACCTCAAACAGCTCTTTGAAGAGGTGAGTACCAGAGACAAACATGAACAAATGACTGATGTATTCATTATATGCAGGGGTGGGATACGACAGGGTTAACTACTGGTTCGGGATTTATGATGTCAGGTGATTTATGATGTCCTTCCCTGCAAGCTGCGAGCATGCATGCCTGTAAATCGTCATCAGCACACTGCATGCAGAGAAGCAGCCTTTGAAACAGCCCTCTTTTCCTGCTTTTTTAACTGCAGCTGTGCCTCGTTCGGCAGCTGAAGTTGAAAAATCAGGAAATAAAGATCAGGTAAGATCAGGTAACCAGTTCTGTGTCTGCTGCTCTTCAGAGCTACTGGTTCTACAGAGGTGGACAGAACCAGTAGAAACCCACGCCTGATTATATGTGATGAAAATGATCAGGAACATTATTTTTCTCATTTTCATTTGTTTGCTAGTAGCTTCTTGCAAGAACACTCAGGAAAGAACAGATAATGCAGTGGCTGGGATCAAATTCTACCTCATGATTAAACTTCCCCTACTACACCAAAAGGGACTACAATTGCAATGTTATACACAACTTATTATGCCTTTCCTGACCCCATCCAGGAGATCAAGGAATTGCAATCTCAGATCCAAAATGCAATGGTCACTGTGGAGATGGACAATAACCGTGAACTGGAAATGAAGAACATAATTGATGAGGTGAAAGAACAGTATCAAACCATGATTGCCAAGAGTCGTGATGAGACTGAACAGTGGTACAAAAACAAGGTAACTGGTTCACTTATCTCCCTGCATCCACATCATGAAAGTATAACATGGAAACATTGGTCAAGGGCAGTCTTATTTTGATACCGCTTTCATATTAAAGTGAGAAATCCAGCTTCCCAATACAAACTGTTGCAAGATTAAAGCAAACTAGTTTCAGTTTCAAATAAACAGAATGATCAGATTCTAGAAACAAGGAAAAAAGAATCTGGCACTGTTTGGCAGCTCAGTGGAATCTTGGAAAGTATTTCAGGATTTGCATGACCAGCAGAGGTTTATTAAGCCGTGGTGGCGCAGTAGTTAGAGTGCAGTACTGCAGGCTACTTCTGCTGAATACCAATTGCCAACAGTTCGAATCTCACTGGTTCAAGGTTGACTCAGCCTTCCAGCCTTCCGAGGTTGATAAAACGAGGATCCAGATTGTTGGGGACAATATTCTGACTCTGTAAACTGCTTAGAGAGGGCTGTAAAACACTGTGAAGAGGTATATAAGTCTAAGTGCTTCTGCTATTTCAACGAAGCTATTGTAAACCTCTAGGTAAGGCCTGACATGTTCCCAAAACGAGTCCTAGCCTGGCATTGAAGCCAATAAAGACCACCAGACATGAGGAATGACATTTTCAGCTTGTTTTATTGGAGCAAAAGGGTCTCAGCAGCTAAAGGAATCAAGACCCTGAACCAGAGGTGGTATTCAGCAGGTTCTGACCAGTTCTGGAGAACCGGTAGTGGAAATTTTGAGTAGTCCAGAGAACCGGCAAATACCACCTCTGACTGGACATTTCACAGTATCCTTTCCCTGCCACGCCCACCAAGCCATGCCCACAGAACCGGTCATAAAAAAAATTGAATCCCACCACTGCCCTGAACAATACACAAACACAAATTTTGTATGTTATGATTAATGAAGTTAACACCCTAAGAATCAATCATTGATTCCTTGACACATTTCTTTTGATTGCTTTTTTCTACTTTACCCTCCTTCATAAATTGCATGTTTATGCCAATAAGCTTTTTTATCAGAAGAGGTGTGTGATTTACCACCATATAATAAGCTAGAGGTTACCAAAGTTCATGTCTATGTGCCTTAGCTTAGTGTCCTTCTAACTTGTAACTTTCTTCTTGCTGTAGTGTCCCACCATTCATTATCAATCTTGTTACACTCATCACAGCTGCAACTTTCTGCCTCGGCAATTCTTTTAACAACAAACTTTTCTAATTCCAACCTGAGTCTTTCAACCAATGTCTGAATTTTCAGGATAATTCTATCATTCCAATATTGTAATATTTCAGAGCCAGTAATGTTGTATGATCCTCTACTGCCAGTCAATCCTCGTCTAGTTGTAATAACAAAGCATATGTGTATTTGAACGTGATTGTAGTATCATGACCCAATCTTTTGCACAACCAGAAAGAACTTTGTCTGATGCCTGAAACTTCTCTGACTTCTAATTATGCCTTCCATGCCCTAGATTTTATCCCATGATTGTTCTAGAACAGGGGTCACCAACCTTTCAGACCTCAGGGAGTGCTAAATTGATAATTTTAAATCCCGGGGACCACTAATGTGAATTTTTCAAAAAGATAAATAGTGCACTGTATAAATGCAAATAATTTGTCTACAGACCACCAAAATTGTCTCACGGACCACCAGTGGTCCCTTCCATGGACCACTGGTTGGCAACCGCTGTTCTAGAAGGAATCCAGTGTATGATATGATATCCCACATATCTGGAAGACCTGAAGGTGGGAAATCTGCCTATGTGTTTGTCTACCTCAGACCTGGTATTCTTGCGATGGACTCTGTGTCTTACTCCTCTGAATACATTAGCATAACGATTCCTGTTTATCCCTCTCGTACCTTCCAGATTGATGACATTGTCAGGCAAACTCAGAAACATAATGATGGGATGAAAAGCATCAAAGGTCAAATTGCCGAATTGACTCGCTATGCCCAGCATATCAACGGAGAAATTGAGGCCTTAAAGAATCAGGTAAGCTGCCAGTCTCTAGATCAGGGGTGGGCAAACTACGGCCCACGGGCCACATCCGGCCTGTTGGTCTTTTTAATCCGGCCCGCCGAAGATTGGTACAGAATTAAGGTTTGATGTGAATGATTGAATGATTGCATTCATTTGATTTTGACTTGTAATGACAGGCATTTCGACACCAGGTGGTGGCCCGTCTGTCAAATTTTAAAAGTCAATGCGGCCCCCGAGCCAAAAAGTTTGCCCACCCCTGCTCTAGATAGAATCCCAAGTCTTAAACAGAAATATTCATAACAACAGAGAACACACAAAGCTGGGCGGCAAATGCCACAGATACTCTACCTACAACTCATTCTGTGAACCAGCCTTTGGACTAGATGACCTCTGAGGTCCCTTCCAGCCCTGGATTGCTGTTCTGTGCTGTTTCATTTTGTTCTGTTTTGTAACTATCCTCACATGTGTCTTTAATTTGTCCAGCTGCAAGTGTCCTCTCCTTTTTAAAAATAAAACACAAGAGGGCACAATTTCTTATTACTGGGAGAGGCTTCTCAAAAGTTCCAGCTGTAAATGTTATTCTCTTCCATTAACACTACTAGATGAATCTAGGAGGCCATCATTTCATTCCAAAGGTCTTCTAACCCCAAATGTTGTCTGGGGTCATAGATTGTGTGAAGCTGTGGTGTGGCTTGTGTAGTTTGGAATAGGCACTGGGATAAACAACCTCTGCCCCTCCAAAGTTTTGGATGCAGCCTATTCAGCTATGGAAACATGCTGAGCGATTTTGGCCCAAGTCCTAGAGGGTTGTTAGGAAGTTAAAACGATGAGTGATCCTTGTGTAAATTGTGCGGAGCTCCTATGAAATATAAAACAAACAAATTACTATTCCCCTCTAACAGCGGTTACCTAATAATATTTGCTGATGTGACAACAGCAATAATTATTAAATAGATTGGAAGTAACCATTGGTCTTATCGCTTTTTGGAAGGCAAACATGGTCATACCATTCAAAGATCAAGCACAACTCTGAGCTGAAAAAAACATTGCACAGCTTTGGGTTCAATACAGCGTCTGCACTGGCTTCTTTTCCTGGCTGGCTTTTAGCTGCTTCTTCATTGGGAGGCTATTTCCCTTGAAACTTCTTCACAGTCTTCTTGACTATTCAGAATAACCGTGCAGAATGGAAGGCAAGCAGCTGTCGCTCAGAAGAGGCCAGGTTTTTTCACCCGCCATACTTAAAGAAAGAGGCTTTGATTTTGAGCCCTTGCTGCTTCTTTTTTAGTTACCGAACTCTCCATAAGGCATTCCCACCCAGACAGTGGACACTGAAATGTTCCTCTTTCCTCCTGCCCAGCGAGCCAACCTGGAAAATGCTGTGACTTCAGTAGAAGAACAAGGAGAGCAGGCTGTGCAAAGTGCTAAAAGTACCATCCAAGACCTGGAGGAGGCCCTGAAGCAAGCCAAACACGATATGGCCACCAAGATGAGAGAATACCAAGAACTGATGAACCTCAAGCTGGCCCTTGATATAGAAATTGCCACCTACAGAAAGCTGCTGGAAGGAGAAGAAAACCGGTAAGCAAGAGTCAGCTTGGACTTTTTGTGCATGGGTATGAATTGGTTCCTCTACGTTTGATCGCCTAGGGAAACTTTCTTCAGCCTAGGGCCCTCCCAAAAGGTTAGATGTCAGTTTCCAGATAGTGCTGGTGTCAGCATTCCAGAAAGCCTTAACTCCAATAAATAACTCAGAGACAGACATGTTCTCAAAGTTCCCTTTTATTAGAGGTTCTAATAATCTTTATTATTCTGGTGCTAATATGGCTTTCAAAGCTGACAGCTGGAGGATTTTGAGGCAGGTTGATCTAAGAAAAAAAGGGAAGAGACAATTTCTGTAGACGGTATGCTGCTTTGGATAGTCCTTTTGATGCTGTCATGTGCTGGTTTGCAAATATATGAACATTTTGATTATCCCATCCCAAATGACAGTAACAGTCTAGATTCACAGCAAAAAGTGCACTGCAGGAAGGTAATTGGGAGACAGGAGCATTCAAGAACAGGTAGCAGAAATACAGCTGTGACACTAGATTGTTAATGTTGTGGTTAGTCTGCAGCAGGTGCAGATGGCTGAGGAGAGCGAGGACTCTGATGAAGGGCCAGGACTATCAGGGAATGAACTGCTGCCTTCAGAGATTGTGAGGGCTGGCAGCAGTGATGAGGAGGTTCCCAAGGAGCCTGTGACAAGTGCACATGCACGAAGGATTACTCAGAGGAAAGAACAATTACAGCAGCACAGGCAACTTGGGAGTAAGGCTGCAAGGTAACGGCCCCTCCCTCAAAAGGATAAAAGCCAGGTTTGGGAAAGCATTCTTTGCAGAAGGCAAAGAAGCTCTGAAGCTTAACTTGTGGATGTCTTACTTCGTGTTTGGAGAACCTTGTAAATTAGTTCTTATCTCTGGGTTTTTGGCAGTATTGACAAACAACTTGGAAAGGCTCTTTCTTGTCGGAGCTAATTAGTGGAAAGCAGCCTTTTATCTGTAATGGAACAGAATTCATTATTAAACCTTAAAAAGTGGGGGCTGCTGCCTTTGTCTGTGTTTGCTCTTTGGGAACCCGGTTGGGTCAGAACAGTTACTGTCATTTGGAACGGGGCAACAAGAGCATTTTAGGAGAGCATATTCTAATAAAGTTTTCCAAGGTTTCGGACATATTTCCCCAGCCTACTTGGAGGTTCCCAAAACTGAACATAGAACCCGTTTTATAGGCTACACCAATAAGATAAGGGTTTTGTTTTTTTCTCGAAAGAACCCATGCTTACATGTTTTCCAAATTCACAAACATGCTCTTTTTATTTCTCCCAGGATGGTTGCTCAGGTTCCACCACAACAAGTCAATGCCATTAACAAGTTAGGTAGGCCGTCTTCTTGTTCTGCTGGGTTGAGGTAAACCAAGCATCTCTCTTTTGCTGACCTTTCTCCTTCTGAGGTTTTCGGCATTGTGGAAGCTTTATTCTGCCTCCCAATTCTCCGTGAACTTTTTGCAGTGTCCTGAATTTCATCTGGATATTTTATGTCCTGAAAAAAGCTGAAACAAATTGAGGGCAAGGTCTTACCTAAAATTTTCTTTTGCCACCTTTGCCATTCCATACCCCTGAATTTTAAATTATGTGTTAGATCAGGGGTGTCAAACTCCATTTGACTGAGGGCTGCTGCATCAGGTTGTGTTGTGTTTGACCTCTAGGGACCGGGGTAGGCGTGGCCAGCTCAACATCATTTATGTCAGGGACACCTGTGGTGGCCCAAGTATTCTGCCAGAGAAAACGGGGTCCCAATCTCCGTTTTTGGCTGGGACAGCCTCCTGCAACCCTCTGCCAGTGAAAATGGAGCTCAGAAGGGCTCCTTTTTGGCTGGCAGAAGCACCGCGGGCCAGTCTCTCGCTGTTTCCAGAATGGTCCTGCAGGCCAGATCTAAATACCTACTAGGCCAGATCTAGCCCCCGGGCCTTGAGTTTGACACCCCTGTGTTAGATAGAGATACCACTTAGTGTATGCTGCAACGATACTTAATTTTCAAGCTCAAAAACTGATGTGCAATGCAGTTTAGCACTAATGATCGGTGATAAACAGTGGCAGTAGTTAATATTAAGCTTTCAAACAGATCTCAACATATGTGCTTCTTGCCCATGGTGGAGGAATGTCTGGGGAATATTCTACCTACATAAGCATCACCATTATCTATTGGGATGCATTGTAAAAAAAAGCATCTGCTGTGTTGGGCAACATGATTTTGAAAGACATGTATCAATTATTAGTTCATTGAAAAAACTGCTGTTAAATTTTTAGGACAGCTCTGAAGTCTCCAAAACTTAGTTGAAAAACCACTGCTATCTATTGATAGCATTTAATGGAGGGCATGTAATGTTATTTAGAACCAGACAAAGAATATGCAATGGGAAGTAGTATTTAACAGTTGATGTTTGAAACCAGCCAACATTGAAATAAACCGGATGTAAAACAAATGTCAAATGTATGAATTTTGAATTTTTTTGAATTCAAATGTTGAAGTTGCAGGTTTCATCCAAAGACTGAAAGCTCAATGTAGAAGTATAGGTGTTTCTTCTGCCTCTAAATCTGACTCGGTGCAAGCCCATGGAATTAGGGATAATTGAACTGCCAGCCACTTAGCCTTCTGCTATTAAAAGAAATGGGTGAAGCCAAAGCCTTCCATGTAGTATATTTTGCTGCTGCTTCATACCGCATGCAATTACCACCAAAGTATTCTCCAAGAATTGGCAGAAATATGTAAAACCTCTTCTCAAAGTTATTCCCTAAATGTTTCTCTATTGCTAAGATGCTGCAAAAAAGTATTATTATAGTGCAAGATAATCCTTTCAATCAATTTATCTAATTATTTTGATTGTTGCATAATATTAACTTCTCTGCATTGCCTATTTGAGATAATGGACCAGAACTCTAGATCCTTCTGTGAGTCTAGCAGAGTGTCAAGAATCAGTGTTTGATTAAGTATTCCTCAGTCTGAAATTATCTCCTGCATTTGACTTTCTCTGCCAAAACCATCTTTCTCCAAGAAATCATTCAGCAGGTATATTGGAAAACAAGTTCCATCGATGCCAGCCCAATCAACATAGTTTAGGATAATAACAGATGAAGCCGAACACATTTGAAGGACAGCAGAATGGAGAAGGAAACTTTAAGCAAGCTCTTGCTTATTGCATGCAGTCAGTTAACCTTTTGTTTTGTTTGTGAGGATTTTTTTGTTGTTGTTATATTGGCCTGCTGACTTAACTTGCATGAGTTTGCTGGCTTCCTCTTCTGCCAAATTGCTTTGGTAAGCCAATCAAAAACTTCTTCACTAAGACCTTCCTTCTCCTCTGATCTCTCGATCAAATTCTGAAATCCATCCGTTGCTTCTGCAGCTGGACTCCTGAATCAAGGGATAACTCTTCCCTCTCACATTGGGGTTGCAGGGATTTCGGTCTCCAACAACAACTCATTGAAGAGGCCTTTGATGATCAAGACCATTGAGACCAAAGATGGGAAAGTCATTTCAGAGGTCAGTCATTTTTCAGAGAAGTGACTGGAATAGAACCAGCAAAAAGTCAAGGTATCTTAAATACATCAAATGGATTGTTTTTATAGCCTCTAATGATAACTACTTCATATGCCTCCACCTTTTCTCCCAGTCAGTGCTGTGTTTTTTTTCAAGCTACAATGGCTCAGTTTGACCTTGCCAATAAAACGATGTCGATAATATGTTCTATTTACCAATTTACATTAAAGCTCCTGAAAAATGTGTTGTTGGTCTCAGTTTCTTGCATGAGTTTTATCAGCAGCCGTAGGCACATCATTGTTCAACCCCACATTCTGACTTCCTGTTACAGGGTGCATCATATATTTATCCTCTGCTTGGGTTAAGGAAGGAAAGTTTGATCTTCCTAAGTGAGACCTATACAAAGAAGTGTGCCAAGAGCACAAATTCTCAGGTTTTAACAAGAGTGAAAATTTTAAGATAAAGATCATTTCTGCCACAAAAAGAAGCCTGGAGAATATACCAGGAAGTAGCTGAAGGGGGGAAATACATACTTATATGTGGATGAATAGCATTCCTTCTGCTGCAGCTCAAATATTTGTTAACTGTACTGAAGCATTTCCTATGGCTCTTTGCTATACCCAATTATAGTTTCTCCCAATCTTGACCTTGGATGTTTTTGGATCCAGATTGGTAGTGATGAAATTTATGGTTCAGAAGTATTTCAGGAGTTATTTTGAGTCATCTAGTAATGTCTAGGAAGCCAAACCCGGGGAATTATTTAAAAACTTTTAAGGGTTTCCTGGTAAAATATAATTATAAGCAGCCATTAATCAGTCTTCCTACCAACTCTTAGTCAGACTTACCTGGAAGAAAAGTCCAGCTCAAAAGCCAGAAACATAGCACTAAACCAGCCTTGGTCAAGTTTGTATAACCATGCAGTGTTGTATATAAAAGCCACTTCGATCAACATCAGTTTGCTTATAGAGCAAACCGATCTACAGAGGATGTTGTGGCCATCAGACTTCATAGAGCGCTGAGTCATCTGGAGAATAAACAGAGCTATGTGAGGATGCTCTTTGTGGACTACAGCTCTGCGTTTAACACTATCATCCCAGATATACTAGTAACCAAACTGTATAATCTGCAGGTCCCCACCCCCATGTGCTCCTGGATTAACAACTTTTTGACAAACAGACCACAGTCTGTTAGACTTGGCCCCCACCTTTCTTCCACTATTACACTCAGTACTGGTTCCCCCCAGGGTTGTGTCTTGAGCCCCCCGCTATATGCCTTGTACACCTTTGATTGCTCACCGAGCCACGCAACAAACACCATCATAAAGTTTGCAGATGACATGACCATGATTGGTCTCATCTCCGGAGAGGATGAGACGGCATATAGGGCAGAAGTAGAGAACCTGTCTATCTGGTGTTCACAGAACAATCTCTCACTGAATGTCCATAAAACCAAAGAACTGATTATGGACTTCAGGAAACATGGACAGGACCATGCCCCACTCATCATCAATGGAGAATGAGTGGAAACTGTCCCTACAATCAGATTCCTTGGCATCCATATTTCAGCTGGTATCTCCTGGTCCCCTAACACCAAGGCCATAGTGAAGAAGGCTCAGCAGCGGCTGCACTTCCTGCGGGTTCTCAGGAAGAACAATCTGGATAAGAAGCTGTTGCTGGCTTTTAATAAAGCCTCTGTGGAGAGCACTCTGACATATTGTCTGGGTGTGTGGTATGCAGGCTCCACAGTTGAGGATAGGAAATCTGTACAGAGGGTGATAAACACAGCTCAAATGATCATTGGTTGTCCTCTGCCCTCCCTGGAAGACTTAGCCAGGTCCCGCTGCCAAAGCAGAATCAAGGCCATTATAGAAGACCCCTCACACCCTGGCAATTATCTTTTTGACCTGCCGTCTGGACGGCATTTTAGGTCAATAAAATCCACACCACTAGACTAACAAATAGTTTCTTTCCCTGGGCCATCCGAACCACAAATAAACACGAAGTCACTACCTCATTAAGATGTGAAAAGATGTGAAATCTCAATATTCCATTCAGATGTACAGTATAATAAGATATTACAGTACAATCCATCTCTTGTGTATTATACTCGGCTAAGCGTTACAGTCAGTGTTGGATGTATATTTTGTGTATATTCGTAGATATTGTACTCTCAAATTGCAAATGGAGACGTGGGTACTCTATCTTTCTTATCTTCATTTTTAAGAGCGTTGGTTTTATTGTATTGCGAACAGTTGCTGGGGTGCATCCGCAGTTTTGTTGTACTTGTACAATGACAATAAAGTTCTTCTAATCTAATCTAGACGTAAAAATGAATTTATTGGGGATAGGGAAATATACCAAAAATGGAAAGGTAACAAGTGAAGTTAATAATCACATAAATATAGAATTCCAAACAAACCAGCCCAGTTAAACTAATCATTTACTGTCTCCTTGAATAAGCTTTTGGCTTTTCAATTTATAAGAGGGTTCAAAGGGCTAAGAACACAGGAGACTACTAATTTACAGTGCAATATGAAAACTGGCAGGAAAATAAAATGTAAGAGACCCTGAACCCCTCCCCACCTTGTGAAAATACAACTCCCAGCATGCCTCTGGGCCTGCTGAGACTTGTAGTTCTGCTGGAGCTCCATAACGTTCCTCTCCCTACTTTAAGGAGTGTGGTATCTATTCAGGTATTTAAGTCTTCCATGTCAATCCTAAGATTGGCAGAGCAGAGAAATAAGAAACAGGGCATGTTCTTCTTGTGACAATAACTATGACTGGGTACTGAAAGTTGAAAGTTTGTAAGGCATCATGGACAATGTATTACCACCCTGTTTATGGTGATGTAGGTAAGTTTATTTTAGACCAAGAATAGAACTTTTCCTTGGATAATAGAAAGGTTTGGTTTAGTTTACTTTATTGTCATTGCACCTCGTACAATGAAATCAAACACCATCTTCAGTGCACATCATGACCATGAAAATAAACACAAACACACATCCCGTACACTCCACACATTGAATTGAAAACACTGCACTATACAGCAGAATTCAAAAGAGCTACTGCCCTGGGATAGAAGCTGTTTTTCAGCCTATTTGTCCTTGTTTTTATTATTCTGTACAGTCTGTCAGATGGCAATAGTTCAAAAAAAGGGTGCCCAGGATGAGATGGATCTTTGAGAAAGTTTTGAACTTTCTTAAGGCAGTGGGGGCTATAAAGCTCTTCCAAAGAGGGGAGAAGGCAATCAATGATCTTTTGGGCAATGACATTAACCTTTTTTTGAGTGCTTTCCTATCTGCCACTGTGCAATTGGCAAACCATACAGAGGTGCAGTAAGTTAAGATACTCTCTATGGTGCAGCAGTAGAAGCTCACCAGCAGTTTCTCATTCAGTTGTTGTTTTCTGAGAAGCCTCAGGTGGTATAATCTCTGCTGGGCCCTTTTGACCAGGGCTGCAATGTGAGCACCCCAGGTCAGGTCATCTTTTATGGTAGCACCCAGAAACTTAAAACTGGCCACTTGCTCCACTTGGTCTCCATTGATAAGCAAGGGCTGGATGTCTGATCTGTTCCTTCTATAGGTGCTGAATTGTTTTATCCAGTCCTAGATATTTGGGATGTTACCGGTAACTGTCCACTTTGGCCACTTCAAAAACAGACTAGGCAATACTTTAGGACAGTTTGAGAAGCTAAAGTCATTATTTGTCCTTAAAAGGCTAACTGGACCTTTGCAATGGAAGTATGGCATTACGTCAGCCCTTGAGGAACACTATGCACAGAATAAGAAGAAAGAGTATCAGTCTGCATTTAAAATGTTCACAAACATTCAAGTGGGGATTAAATGGAAGATAAAATAAACCTATTTTAGAGAGCTGCCTTTTTAAAACAGTGCACAAACTTTGAAATTTTTCACATATCTTCCTCTGACGCATTATTTTATACTTACTTTAGAAACAGCAACTCAAGAAAATGCTTTATCCTCAGTTAGAACATTAATGTATTTCACAATGTTTTTGTTACTGTTCGGGAGTTTTTGTGTTATGGCCTGAATTTGGACTATCTGTATTCAAAGCGGATGTTTTCCTATTGAAAAAAGTATGTCAATCTTTTGCTTTCTATTTCTAAATAATTTCAAGTGATTTCTATAACAATAAAGCCAATATAGTCAACAAAAAAATAAAATAAAAGTTTTAATTTTTTTAGTTTTGAGTACAAAGTCCAGAAGTGGTTTCCAAAACAAAACTAGATAGAATTTTATCTTTAATTACAACAATCAGTTTTGCCATATCTGCCAACTCCATTGCCTTCTCCATTCGTTCTTCCATTGTGGGGATTAATGTGTCCTTCCATTTGTGTGTATATAAGATTATTACAGCTGTCAACATATATGAAACAAAGTTCCAAATTTTCTTTCAAGCCCTGTGAATTGGTTTTTATGTTCTTGTGAGGCTTTATCACAAACTGAAATTGCCTAAATAAATTATTATGGCAAAGAGCACAAGAGAAACAAGCTTAGAAATTAACGTTTTCCTCTTCAGAAGTGAAGATGGATATATGTGGAAATATGTGAAAAAATTACAGTGGCAGACCAAAAGCACAGTTCAGTGACACGGAAAGTATAAACCAATTTTCAGGAAATGATGTAGCATAAATAGCATTCAGGCAGAACTGAACATTCATACAGGGTGGCCTCATATTTAATCATAAACTTGGATTAAGAAAATGCTTTTTTGTTGTTGTCATATTGCAATATGCCCAAACAGCTTTACTGAGGTTTAATATTCATCCAACATGTGAAAGCAGTGGCTGAATTTCCACAGTATGATGAAACACAGAGCTCCATTTTAGTCTAGATTAGCATATTATAAGACCCCAACTGTGGAATAGATAAAGGAAGCAATCTTTTTACATTTGGAAGCAATGTAGTTTCAATAATACATTTGTCTTTTATGGAACTCTTGCCTGTTTTGCAAATGGAAGCAAACACATACTTGAGGTAGAGCAGAGAATTGTTTTCATGCTTTTCAATCAACTGCTTTGATCCTGCTGAAGAGATTTTGAATTTAAAAGTCCAGGCTTCCTTGGCTGACTTTCTCCCTCTGATAGAAGCCAGACATCTTGGCCACAGGCCTTCAGCCCTAACTCTCTGAGACACCATTCCCTTCCCAAAGCAATAATGATAGCTCTGAATTTGGTGACTTTTAGATTCATCAATTAGATCTTTCATGTTTTTGAATTGTTTTCCTCCTCAGCTAGACTAAAGCCTGTAAAACAGACTTGACTTCTTGAATAAACAAAAGCTGAGTTTTCTTCCTGGAAGTCATCTAGAGAAAATTGGCGAAGGATCTGAAGAAGAGAGTAATGACTGAATCCACATCTCCATTTATACTTAACTGTAACATAAAGTCATGTTCAGATAACAGTGTTTTTCTTCTTTGCTTCTATGCCATGTTTCCTGAGTGAGAGTGCCTTCTATTATCATTACCTGTACTGGTTTGGAAAAAGCATTTACCAAGAATAGTCTTAAGATGTGTAAAACCTGTTATCTTTCATCTATTATCTTAGAAGCGAACTCAAATGACCAATAGTTGATGTGACCAGCAAGGGGTCAGGAGGTCAGCCTCTACTTCTGCCATTTCCCCCCCAATATTTTGCTCTGTCCATTAGCCTTGATTTCCCAAGTTCTTTTTACACCCATCATTTCCTTAATCATGTTTTTGACACCAATTTTTATGAAGGCTTCTAGAAATGGAAGGTGAAAGCAAAGCAGATATGGATTATATCATTTGGGAGAAGAAGAAGAAGAAGAAGAAGAAGAGGCAGGGCTAAAATGTCAGTTGACTGTCTTGCTCTCCCCTCCAAGAATAGGGCGTATGGTCATCCTATAAAGATAAAATAGAAACAAAGGCCCTTTCCTTTAAAAACCAGAAATGATCAAACTTTGGCTGACGAATAACAATCTGACTCTAAAGTTGTTGAGGTTGTCTTTCAAGAGCTTTTCTGAAACTCTGAATTTTTACCAAGAGATAGAAGGAAACAGAAACATTATAGGAATTAGGGTTATTTCAATCTATGTAGTTTTGAGTTCATAGGAAATTTAAGAACAATTTTAGAAGAGATGGTTTAATTTTCAAGATGTGGATAAAAGCAGATATTAATATTTAGGAAGGCTTCAAAAGAATCATGTAGATGACAATAACAGACTTACCATTATGAATTTTGTATATGTATAACCAATTTTTTCAGTAGCGGGGGGTTGAGAATATAACAGGAACATAAAAGGCAGATAAAAGACTGAAAAAAGTACTTGGCAATCACTGGTCAGCCTCTCTGATTAATTCCCATTAAGGGTCAGGATCCCTGGCCAGTAGCCATGCAGGCTGAGAGATTATGGAAATTAGAGCACTGCACTATCTGTAGAGAAATAATAATAAACTGTATTTCTATAAATGGAAGCACTGTTCCTTAAACCACTGTGGGAATCAGTTGCTTTAGTCTTGTAGTCACATCCTGTCACTTTTATTATTATTTTTCTATTGCATTCAACCACTAAAAAAAAACCTTGCATGCATCTAGGTGGATTATCAATTAAAAGATAATGCCTGCTTCACAAAACTTTTACACTAGGCTAAAATGGAGTTGGATAGCTTGTAGCTCAATATGTTGTAGGAGGACATGCATTTTCATAGTCCTGTGGGACCCAGATCATCATATGGATACTGGATTCCATTTTTTTTCTCCTTCAGTTAAGGAAGAACATTTATTTTTATTCTCCCCAAAACACTGTAAATGAGGTAGGAGATGTTTATATCCTAAAACCCTCATCTCTGGAATAAGCACAGTATTTATCTGCATCGCCAAATCACCCTTGGTGTGTGGGTGGCATTTATGGCATTCCAGATATGGAACCAGCTTAGGTAATGATTAAGGTTCTGGCTAGAAACTGGGAAATGGTAAGTTCTAGTTTCACCTTAGGCACAGGTCAACTAGGTAATCGTAGGCCAGTCTCTCTCTCTCCTTCCCTCCTTCCCCCTTAGGAAGGAGGCAATAGCAAACTACTACTAAAAAACCTTGCCAAGAAACTGTGGGGATTTGTCCAGTCTGTCACCAGACATCAACACTGATTCAAAAAAGCAAAATGAAAAGATACAATTGTGAACAGTTTAAAATGGACCTTATGAATTGTAGAATAGTTAAATTATAGCGAATAACCAGAGATTCTCCAATCTCCCTCTGCATTCAGCAGGAAGGCAGAGTGTGAGGGGTAGAAGCTGCAAAAAGAGAGAGGTAGGACTGCTTTGGCTGAACTCACATCTAAAATGGAGAAAAGAGTGTCATTCTTCTCTGATTATTTATTTGAGAATGAAATAACAGCCTACCTGTTTACTGTAACAGTCTACAGTAAACCAAGCATGTAGATTGATATAAATCACAGGTGGTATTCAGTAGGTTCTGACCAGTTCTGGAGAACCAGTAGCGGAAATTTTGAGTAATTCAGAGAGCCGGCAAATACCACCTCTGACTGGCCCCGCCCCCATCTATTCTCTGCCTCTTGAGTTCCAGCTGATTGGCTGGGTCTTCTTTGGTTGCCCTGCAAAGGAGAACAGAGCTGGAAAGCAGGTTAGTGGGGTGGGGAGGGAATGGGGGTTTTGCAGTATCCTTCCCCTGGAGTGGGATAGAAATGGAGATTTTGCAGTATCCTTCCTGTGCCTTGCCTACCAAGCCACGCCCACAAAACCTGTAGTAAATTTTTTTGAATCCCACCACTAAAAAATGGTTGCAAAATAAAATATTTTTTAAAAGAGTATCAACAAAATCTCAATAAAAGCAGAAGAGGAAGAAAGATCTGGTTGGGGCTTCTGAGCTGATTGCTAAACTCAGTTTAAGTTCTGTTTAAGTGTTTTCCTTTATGAAAACAAAAGCACTCTAGAGGAATCTTTTACAAAATAATATCTATTTTAAAATTCAATTGATACAAATGACAGACTTTTGAGTTCTTCAGAAACTTTTATTAGGCAAATCAGATTTTTTTTAAAAAGGAAAGGGGAGGAGAAAAATCCCCAAATTAGGCAGCTATTTCAAACATCTGCTGTCCAAAATGAATTTTTTAACATGGAGAGTGCAATACATTGGTCGTGTTGCCCTACTTAAGTTACATCTACTACATATTCTATTTATATATTAGTTACTTTGCAGAACAAAGATCAATGGCTGCTTCTCTCCCATCTTTCAGACTGAAAACCCAAAGGTTGTTCTCTCTTAATTGGTCTTTTATCAAGACCCAAAATCTCAAGGTGGCAGAGAGCACAAGGGACACCCCAGTCTTCATCACAGCAAAGCTAGAGATTGATTTTAACTGGTTCATTAGGTTAAAATGATGACTAAAGCAAATAGTATAACATTACGAGTCTGCTATTCAGCAAGCAGATGTTGATGGCATCCCACGCTAAAAAGAGTTTTCTTCCATCTTTTTGCTGGCAATAATGCACTTTCTATCATAGCTGAGAGCCACCAGGAGGCAGCTAAGCACCCAGAAGGAAGCAGTGTTCAAGGCTGGGTTAGACAGATAATAAGGGACGTGAACAAGAAACAGATGCATTGTCTTTTGATAGCAATCTAGATTCTTCCTGTTTACCAGAAAGGAATTACTTTGCCTGCCTGCTTTCTGGATTGGCTAAGGAGATGGTGTTACTGTATTAAAGCTGAAGAAAGATCATCTTTTGGCAGAGAAGAAAGTCTCCCCAAACAGAGCATGCCGACTCCCTTCTTACATTTTGGATGCAATGAGTGGTGATGTCCACAGGATTCCTGTTGTGTCTAGAGGAGACTTGCAAAAGGTTAGTTAATTTAGCCTTTTCTGAATACAGTATTGGGTCTTTAATTTAGATTGGGATTGAGTGCACACAAGCCTCCAGTAGCCTTTTTGAACATTGTCAGATGACAGTTCCTGTCATGTGTGAATCATATTATCCCATTGTACATGTTGCTTTGGGATAATACAATTTTAAAAAGAGTGCTTAGGAAAACACTTCTAAAACAGTGTTAACTTTATGTTTAATACATTGGAGGGGAGTTGAGCTGGGATTCTTCCAAGGAATAATATTAATGTTTATATGCAAATATATATAATTTCTCAGATAATTTCAGCTGCTTCAGTACTGGATTTTTCATTCAATTCTAGGCATAATCATCAGAAGTTAAACCCTACTGAGTACATTACAATATAGTTTACTGCAAAGTTTTAAAAAAGCATAATTGTACTCTACAGGTGCTTTTCCCACAATATATCCTAAGCTACAATTATTTGAATATTCTACTAATCAGTAGGATTTACATTTGAAAAGGGAGAAACTAATGAGCAATGGGAACATCCAAGTGTAATATTCCACTATTACTTTTTAACCTGTGAGATAATACCTCTGCCCAAGAAACTACTTGTGCCTCAGTCTTTAACTACCAGCAGCCTATAAAAATAAATATGTTAGTGATGTATATGTGAATTGCGATCCCCATTTCCGATCAGGGAAAACAAAATGAAACATCTCTCACGCCTTAGAAATTTGGAAAGCAGTTTCAACAGTGCAGAAGGTTTAACGATTATTTTACCTGGCCTTTCAAAGGACAAGTGGGATTTTCCACATTTCTTTCTTTATGTTCAGAGCATTTCCATCAAGAAAGTCCCAATTCATTTTCTCTCTCTTGAGAAAGACTAGGTGGTATCACATTGAGGATGGTTTCTCCTGCTGCCACTGTAATAGCTTAATTGACTCCTGTTATACCTAGCCAGATGGTAAGAGTTTCTTTCTAAGTGCCTTTTGCTGCTTCTTTATGAGCTTGTTAAAATAACATTCCTGATGTTTGTGGTTTTTGCTTGTAGAGTGACTGCAACCACAGGTGATGCCATGGAAGTCTCCTCCCCAACCCAATTTCCTGACACCTTTCCTAGCAACTGACCTATTCCCGCACTGCTAAGAAGAGGGAAGGTTTTACTACCACGGATAAAGAAGTGCACAGTGTCTGCCCTCCCTTCCCTTCCTTGCTCGTTCTCCTACATGGCTACACGCAAGAGCATTCTCTAAGTAGATGGCTCTCGGAGAAGTCAAGCTATAATAGAACAATTGCTTCTGGTGATTTTCAAGTAAGTTAAAATTAACATTTCTGAGTAAGTTAAAATTAAAACTTCTGGTTTCAAAAGTTAGTGGGAAAGTGCTATTTATGCAAAGAAGCACATGGGATGATATTTTAAAAAATCCAAGCAAAGGAGATCTACATACTGCTCACTAGTTTGTTTTTGGTGTGGTGATGTGATGTCACATTCCAAAAGACCATGTATGGCCTTTGACCCTTAACATGGTGCACATGTCGATGTTCTAAGACAAAGAATAGCAGTTTAAAGGTTCAGCAATCTGTCTGGATATCCTCCATGGCTTTCCTAAGTAGATGTGTGCCTCAAATGAAAGCCTCACTTGGCAATAGCTGGGCGTGTGAAAGGAGATTTAAGGAACAGTGGAGTTCACAGGAAGAGCAAAGGGAGATATTTTTTTATCTTACTCATTTCCTTAACCAGAAAAGCCTCTTGAAGATAACAGTTGTTCTGATCTGTTCTCTGGCATGTTTAGATTTCAAGGCCATACAGAATGAAACTGGCAATTTTAAGCTAACATCATGCTTTTCTTCAATGTTAAAAGTAACAATTCCTTTCAATGTGTAAAACCGGGGATTGAAATTCCAAAAATGCCACAATGGTTACGATGGAGGTAGGGCTTGCTCATTCAAAAAAAAAGTGGGGGGGGGGGGGGGGGGGGAGGCTATCTGACCATCCATTTACCAAAAATGGATGAAGATGTTGATGGCCCCATTTTTTATGTTCTGAAAGAACCTGAGCAGAACCACGATGATTCCCTAAAGCAGCAGTCCCCAACCTTCGGGGATTGGTGGACTGGCTTGCGGCGGGGGGGGGGGGGGAGAGGGGAACCAGGCCATGTGAGTGGCGGGCTGGCACATGCATGTGCATAGCTCAATTTGTGCAAGTTGAGCTGCGTGCACATGTGCACGGGTTCCGGCCTGCCGCTTGCGCAAGTCAAGCTGTGTGTACGCGCATGCATGTCAGCCTGCCAGTCACATGGCCCAGTTCCAAATAAGTCACAGCCTGGTATTCGTCCACAGCCCAGAGTTTGGGGACCCCTGCATTAGTTGAAACAAAATTGATAACTTGAGACTAGTGTTTTATTTCATAACATATCACTGTCCAGTTTATAGTGAAAAGCATCTAGAAAAATAAAAACCAGATAGGAACCTGTCAGACACAAGAGAGGTGTCCTTATCACCAGATTGCTTTGTACTTTCACACAAAAAAATCACCATCTCCAAATTTTATTCTGGTTCTCTTGGTTGAGGAAAATATAGAACAGTTGAATGTTTCCACATCCATCATTTACAAAAAAAAATCACATTGGAACAGATCTGTTATGAAGTTTCTCTGGCAGTAATTACTGTATAAAGCTGTGGTTGACAATTTATTAGTGGGATTATTTTAAATACAACTGCATTTTAAATTTCTGAAACGTGGAGTGGCAATTATTCACTTCTCTGTTGTGGTTCATCATATCCTTTACATTTATGCAGTAGTTTTTGTAAGATTTCTTTTACACGGTTTACCTAAAGGTAGTTTTGCACGAATTAGTACATTACGGTATTCACATCATTGAGAGCTGCCTATTTTATTTTTATAGAAGTTATATCACTGTGTAATTCATCATAACATGTATTACAATAGCTAAGAAATGCATCATAACTCAACTCTTTCTATAACTAGTCATTATTTTTTTTTAAAAGATACATACTAAGCCACATATCACCTGGTTTTATTTATTTAGACTATTTCCTTGAGGAAGTTATTTCAGAAGCCCAGAAGATTGTGGATTCTTTATCAGATGCTCAGATGGACCCCGAATATCTTATATCCTTATTCTCTCGGCCCCTGTCAGCTTTCATCATTCTGGCCAATGTTTTCATTATACTTGGGATCCTGTTCAATCGCAAGCTCCATGGGACCATCAACTGGTTCTTCCTGAGTCTGCTCATTGCTGACCTCTTGGCTGGGGGAGCTCTTCCTTATGTCTCCAAGATGCCATTTGAGAAGGATGGTCTCAGCTACGGTCAGTGCTTAGCACATTGTGCTGTGCCCAATTTCCTTTTCCTGTCTTTTTTAGCCAATCTGCTGGTGATGCACTATGCTAAATATATATGCATCATCCAGCCACTACGTTACCACCAGTCCTGGGTTTATCGCTGGGCTGGTCTTTACATATGCTTAGCATGGATGTCTCCCTTGACTTTTGCATCCATGCCATTGGCTTGGTACCAAAAGAAGCCCAATGAGAGCTGCTCTATTGAAAAAGTCTTATACCGGCCGTACCTCTATGTAGAAACCTATGTGTTCATCATCCCAATCATCTTTGCAATAGCTGTAATGGGTATCCAAATGCTCTGCATAGCCCGAAAACAGCTTAAAAACATTAAAAAACTGCTTAATTCAGTGAATCAAAGTCAGGCCCCATCGGAATTGGAACAACAACTGGAACTGAGGCATGCAAAGAGTATCGCCAGTGTATTTCTCATCTTCCTGGTCTGCTGGGTGCCATATATTGTTTGTTTGAATATCTCACTGTATTTAGAAATAAAGCGGAGTACCACCCTTGCTATTTTTATCTGCATAGGTACTGCCAGTGCTGCTGTAATACCTATCATCCTCAGTCTTGGCAATCGTCAATACACCAAATTTTGGAGTGACATGGCCATGAAAGCCTATAAAACCTGCTGCCAAAGTCAGGGGTGCAAACAACATAATAACCAGCCCTGTGGCAATAACACAGAAATTCCTACAATTCCAGACTGATACTTTCCAGTGGGAAGTCATCAAATCCCTCATCCACCCATTTAGCAGCACAAATGCTTCAATCTTCTCCCTTCAGCTTGGAATGAAATTGGAATGTTTGCTTCCAGTCATGGTTTCCCATAACCCAGGTCAGAATTCTACTGTTTGTTGGGGATCTAATGCCATTCAAAAGTTCAGCTAAATATAAAATGGATGAAGAAAGAGAAAGGACATTCCTTTTTCTCTTCCTTGCTGGCAGTCCTGAGAACACAAAAGAAGATTGGAATGCCTTGAAAACACGTTGACTTCAATTTGCTATCAAAAAATGGAGAAGTTGAAAAACAATGAACACAGTTGGGAATAGATTCTCCCACACAGCTCTATTGAAATCCCCTCCTCCTGAATCCCTGCCTTCTAGACCTGCTGCTTACCCCTCTTTCTCCTGATATGGAAGGAAGTCCCTGGTTCTGCATTATAAGAATGTCAGAATAGAAGATAACACCTGGATTTCAGCAGCCTCAGTTACAACGGTTGTTCCTTAAAATTCCTTGCAGTTCAGTTGAAGGATATTGGGAAGCTATTGGGACATTTGTATATCAAGTAGGCTGAGTTTACAATGAATCATAGTTGTATATGAATATGTGAAATGGGATCACAAGCAGACTATTCCAAAACCAAACACTGACCGCATTCTAAAATCAAATCCATACAATGTAAGATCATCTCTGTTGAAAAGATCTAGATTCATTCAGTATGGAGGAATGCAAAGTACATAAGTAAATCTTCCATTTCCCATTAATCTTGTCTTGGCTGTCCCTCACAACAACCCCGAGATAGACAGGGCCCAATTATTCACATGTTTATAGATGAGGAAAACTACACCGAGGCAGACTCCCATTTTCCTGGTATTCTCAACATCATCAATGGCTCCCTCTGTAGCAGAGATTGAATTGCTTAGGTCTATAGTTGATACTGGAGACTGTAAGGAGCAAAACAGGTGAGGAAGGTGCGAATGCTGTGTCAGCCAATCTGAACTCTTGGACCAACCCTGAGCAGGAAACTCCCAACTCAAAGCTGGGAACAGAATGGAGAAATGTTCACTGGATGAAAACACTAAGATAAAAAAGCTTAAGAATTATAAAGCTAATATTGTATGCTAGGCTCCTTTGATGTGTCCTGTCATAATTAACTCTTTCAGTGTAAATACCAGCTCTTGTTTGCAATAAAATAACTTTTTAAAGCTGTCTTAAGTCAATGAAGCTTCCACTAACTACTGAATGGAATGGAGGGTTAAGTTTCTATGAAACAAGGGTTATAGCTGTGCTTGGTATGAACCTTGATGATAAAATGCTGCCAATAGAGGCAAGAAATAATTAAGGATTGATGACTTGGTGACAAATTTCATTAAGGTGAAATTGGGCTGCTTTTTTTAAAGTCTGCTGGTTTACTTACACACTCCATTTAATCTTTTTCTGAGAAGAAGCAGATGCCTTGAGGTCAGAAGCAAACTGGTTTGCCATTTATGCTTATTAATATTTGGGACCAAAAGACATAAATGTCCCCATTAAAGAGGTAATATAGTTATCATGACCTTAATTGGTCTAATTCCCTTTAAAACAATTGAGGTTGGGAGCCATTATGACTTCTTATCCTGCAATCTTCCAGATTAGGAATTCCCACTTTCCATCTTTAGTGATAAAACATCCAACCAATTTCCTATTTCCTTCATCCTTGCTTAGGGCAGTTTGGGGTTAGCAAACTCAGGCCTGGCTGTTGGGCCTCCGATCACATCTAATAAAAACTGAACGTTTCACATCTCTCTCTCTCTTTCTCTCTCTCTCTCTTTTTTTTTTTTGAAAAGGCAGCGGTGTTTGAGGCAGTTTAAGCAGAGGAAGGCTTTTGTATTTTCTCCCTTGTCTGTTTTTAATTATGAGCTCTGCAACTCATTTCTTCTTTAGGTCCTGTTATATTAATCCAAACTCTGTTCATAGACTTAAATTAATTTGGAAAGATTTAAAATTCTTTGGGTGCCTACTGAGACATATTCTATTTTCCAAGAGAAAAGGGGTAACTTCTAGCACCATGCTTTCAGACCATATACAGATGAAACTCGAAAAATTAGAATATGGTGCAAAAGTTCATTTATTTCAATAATGCAACTTAAAAGGTGAACCTAAGATAAAAAGATTAAAATAAAAATTAAGATTAAAAGGTGAACCTAAGATGTGAGATAGACTCATTACATACAAAGCAAGATAGTTCAAAGCATGATGTATCATAATTGAGATGATTATGGCTTACAGCTCATGAAAACCCCAAATCCACAATCTCAGAAAATTAGAATATTGTGAAAAGGTTCAATACTCTAGGCTCAAAGTGTCCCACTCTAATCAGCTAATTAAGCCATAACACCTGCAAAGGGTTCCTGAGCCTTTAAATGGTCTCTCAGTCTGGTTCAGTAGGAATCACAATCATGGGAAAGACTGCTGACCTGACAGTTGTGCAGAAAACCCTCATTGACACCCTCCATAAGGAGGGAAAGGCTCAAAAGGTAATTGCAAAAGAAGTTGGATGTTCCCAAAGTGCTGTATCAAAGCACATTAATAGAAAGTTATGTGGAAGGGAAAAGTGTGGAAGAAAAATGTGCACAAGCAGCAAGGATGACCGCAGCCTGGAGAGGATTGTCAGGAAAAGGCCATTCAAAAGTGTTGGGGACTTTCACAAGGAGTGGACTGAGGCTGGAGTCAGTGCATCAAGAGCCACCACACACAGACGGATCCTGGACATGGGCTTCAAATGTCGTATTCCTCTTGTCAAGCCGCTCCTGAACAACAAACAATGTCAGAAGCGTCTTACCTGGGCTAAAGAAAAACAGAGCTGGTCTGTTGCTCAGTGGTCCAAAGTCCTCTTTTCTGATGAGAGCAACTTTTGCATCTCATTTGGAAACCAAGGACCCGGAATCTGGAGGAAGAATGGAGAGGCACACACTGCAAGATGCTTGAAGTCCAGTGTGAAGTTTCCACAGTCTGTGTTGATTTGGGGAGCCATGTCATCTGCTGGTGTTGATCCACTGTGTTTCATTAAGTCCAGGGTCAACGCAGCCGTCTACCAGGAGATTTTGGAGCACTTCATGCTTCCTTCCGCAGATGAGCTTTATGGGGATGCTGACTTCATTTTCCAGCAGGACGTGGCACCTGCCCACACTGCCAAAAGCACCAAAACCTGGTTCAATGACCGTGGGATTACTGTGCTTGATTGGCCAGCAAACTCGCCTGACCTGAACCCCATAGAGAATCTATGGGGCATTGCCAAGAGAAAGATGAGAGACACGAGACCAAACGATGCAGAAGAGCTGAAGGCCGCTAATTGAAGCAGCCTGGTCTCCCATAACACCTCAGCGGTGCCACAGGCTGATAGCTTCCATGCCATGCTGCATTGAGGCAGTAATTGCTGCAAAAGGGGCCCAAACCAAGTACTGAGTACATATGCATGCTTATACTTTTCAGAGGTCTGATATTGTTCTATGTACAATCCTTGTTTTATTGATTGAATGTAATATTCTAATTTTCTGAGATTGTGGATTTGGGGTTTTCATGAGCTGTAAGCCATAATCATCACAATTATGACAAATCACGGCTTGAACTATCTTGCAAGAGGGTTGACCAAAAACACTCTATAGATTGACCATAAATGTTCTACTGTATAGTATATACTGTATACTGTAACAGGTTGTAGATTTGTCACTCAGCTAAGGCACTTTGCAAGTGAACTCATTAATGGATTCAAGGAAGGCAACATGAAATTTAGCTTAAGCAATGGTTAGAAGTGTCTGGACAAGAATCCGTGGAAGTGCAAAGTTTATCATTAGCATAATAAAAACATACTGAGGGGTAGTCAATGTATATGATAATGAAGTAAGATTGAGTATTATGGGATGTCTTTGTGCACATGTATGGCTGTCAAGTAACCAACTGGCAATTCTCTTTTTGTATTGCATAAAAATAACTGAGCCCGATTTCTGATGTGCTCCTTGGGTGTGAAACTCAGAAGTGTCCTCTTCTACTTCTGAACAGAAATAAAAGATTTTTGTCTTTTCTTGATCTTGTATGCACATTGGCTTCTTCACATTGGGTTCTTGTATCTAGCCAGCCTTCTGGTGAACATTACAGCAATATAGCAGAGTGGTACAGCTAACGTAGGTAACTTCAGAATCTGGAATGATCTGGGCTGAATGGTCTTATATTCTCCACAATACATAATCAACCACTGTCCTAGAGTATATCTGATTAACTTAGAGGACAGTTCGGTAGCAAACCCTGATCACCGACAGATGTTTCGCTCTTAGCTTTTGGTTTTCTAGCTGAGTAGGCTCTTAAATATCAATTATATCTTGTAGGGGTTTCTTACACGCCACCACCTCCCACCCGAAGCACATTGTAGAATTGCTTTTATATTCTTAGACTTTTTACCTTCTCTTTCGGACTGGAATTAAATTTCTCTGAAAACACAGTAAACACAGTTCTTGGCAAATTTGAGTTTACATTACTTAGCAACAAGCAGCTCTCTGGAAAGTGGGGAACATTTGTGTGACGCCCCTTCCATGGTTCAGTATCTGTACCTAACCATCTTGAAAGATTTTCACGCAAAATGAATGGCTACGTGGTTCCTCTCCTTACTGTCATATTTCTGGTATGAAGGCAATGCAACACTGTTATGTTTTTTCCCTCTTGCCCATTCCAGGACAATAGGCTGGTCTTTGGTTACCATACGGACGAGATATCTAGCAACCATGGTTTAGCAAGCCACAAATTCAAACAAGCCCTCCAAGATGACAGCCTTCTTTTTATTTTATTTTGTCATAACGTCTAGTGATGTAAAAACATGCTGTCTTGTTATTGTCACCGAGAGATCCACATATTCAAGTCCAGGATGATCTGCTCAGTCTCCACCAGAGTTCCAATGCCTGTGCATCATCTCAGGAACATCATTTGATTAGCTTTGAACAAATCCACATGATTTGCTGGAAGGGGAAGCACAAGCTCAAAATGACCAAGGGAAGGATGAGCCTTATTGTCATTTCAGAGGCTGAGTAACAGTCCATTTGCCCCATCTTAAGAGGAGGAACGTAGAAGGTGGTACCTCTGACCTCCATGAACACGTCTTCAGAAATTATGTGCAATGGGGCCTCTTTGAACCTGGGAGAAGTACCTGCCACTGCCCAGATCCTGAACCAGGCTCCACCCACTTGTGTTTTCTCATGGCTTTGTGTATGAAGCACCAAGGATGTAAATACTTAAAGCCTCTTATAGAAAACGCCAACAATCAATTGGTGATAGGGTGGCAAAGCTTTCTTTTCAAAATAAAGGGGATCATAAAATGTTTAGTTGTCTCCCTGCAGGATGTTTTGAGGCTAACCCCATCCACCCTGCCATAGTTCCTTGGGTGTATCTGCTGTCAGTCACATGGCACACTTCCTTGCAGTGCCCAGTCACCTAAATGCTAGCGGTCAGGTTGCTGCACACAAAACACCTTGGCCTGGTGATCACCAGAAGTAGTAACCACAAGGGAAGCATCTCTGCAAAGGGGGGGGAGAGAGGGAGAGGATTAAAATATGCATACACTCATACACTGTATACCTTAATATGTATATTTAAACCAAACAAAAAATGAAAGAGGCAAAAAATATTAGGATACTGCAAATAAAACATGAAAATATCCTAAGAGGAAGGCAAGAAAACAGGCTCCTACTATCATTTCTGCTGAAACTCCAGCTAGTTTAGGAGGTTCCTCAATTATCAGCTATCAGCAACTCTTTATCAAATTATGCAATGTACTTTCATAAACACTGTTTTCTTAAACAATTAGCTTATTGTTCTTCTCCTTCATCCCATTTCCCTTTCCTTGCACAACCTGTCTTTTTTTATTATAAATCTAAAGGCAAGCAGTATTTTAGCGGCAATATTTCTAAGCCGGGAGACTCTTTGGCTAAAGGAGGAGGCAAAAGGCTTGGAATGAGTATGTTTCAAAAATCAATACTTAGATGCAGGAATGTAGCAGCAGTCCAAGAGAAAAAACCAGGAAAAATTCCTCTGCTAAGATTCATCAAAAACAATAGAGAGAAGTCCTTTAAAATATTAACCAATAATCCCAGTCATTTATGATCTCGATCCTGTCTATGCTTATCCATCCAATGGAATTCAGCAG